TACAAAATATTTCCTAAACCTGGAAAAACGCAACTACGATCAGAAATGTATTAACGAATTGATGACAGAAAATAATATACTCATTACAGATCCGCGTGAGATTTTGGAGGAAGAAAAAAATTCTTCAAATCATTGTACACATCAAAACAAACAAATCCAAATGAAGCCGTATTTGACCAATTTTTCTCAAATAATGAAACGAACAAACTTTTACCTGATCAACAAGAAAAGTGTGAAGGTAATATATCCTTACTTGAGGCCCACTCTGCATTAAAAAGATGGCAGAAAAGAAAAATAGGACACCAGGGACGGACGGCCTGACTTTTGAATTTCTCCTGCATTTTTGGGATAATATCAATGGTGAGATGGTCAGTTCGTTTAATGCAGCGTTGGAAAAAGGGGAACTGTCAACATCTCAGAAACGTGGTATCATAAGACTTATACCTAAAAATGGTGACACAAGGAAACTTGAGAACTGGAGACCTATATCATTATTAAACTGCGACTATAAAATCCTCACTAAATGTCTTGCTAAGCGGATAGAACCCATCCTACCACACTTAATACATGAAGATCAAACTGGGTATGTTAAGGGGAGATATATAGGAACCAATGTTAGACGTATTTGGGACATTATACATGGCACAGAAATGGCACAGTCCAAAGGTATAGCTTTATTCGTCGACTTTCGAAAAGCTTTTGATTCGCTTGAATGGAATTACCTAGATAAAACACTACAGACCTTTAATTTCGGCCCAGGGTTCAGAAAATGGATGTCGGTACTGTATAAAAACGCTTGTAGCTGTGTTATAAATAATGGCTTTATTTCTGAATGGTTTAGTCTTGAAAGAGGAGTAAGACAGGGAGACCCCCTTTCGGGCCTACTCTTCATAATAGGACTTGAACCACTCGCCAATAAAATTCGATCAGATGAAAGAATTGGCGGAATTATCATAAGCAAGCAGCTACAAAAAACCTAATGTACGCTGACGACACCACAATCTTGACAAATGGAGTTGAGTCAGCGAAAAATGCTCTGTCAGTCTTAGAAACGTTTGAATATTGCTCAGGACTTCAAGTTAGTAAGAAAAAACAGAAGCCATGTGGCTGGGTACAAATAAGGACAGAAAGGACACACCTCTAGGTGTCCACTGGCCAAGCAAGCCATTCAAATGTCTTGGGGTCCATTTCTCCTATGACAGAAAGAAATGCGAAGAACTGGACTTTGATGAAAAGTTGAAGAAAATGAGAAACTTGTTAAATATTTGGTCAGGAAGAGATTTAACTTTAATAGGAAAAATCCTCGTATTTAAAGCGACGGTCACAACTCGCCGTACGTGCTTCTGCGTGCTGTCTACGTGCAAAAACGTGGGCAAACGTACGGCATCCGTGCGTGGTGAGTACCGCCTCCGTACGGAATCCTACGGATTTGGAAGCACGCAGACACGCCGTAGAACCTTAAGTGCATGTAATACTTTTTCTACGTGCGGTCTGCGGATTTACCACACGTGCGTGCGAGTACGTGCGACGCGCGTGCCCCGTACAGCCTATGAGCGTGCAACGTACGGACTCCGTGAGTCTAACTTCACTATTCTCACGTGTAATTGCTGTACGGACAGCGCACGAAGCACGTCAGTGCCACGCACGGTGCTTGCGTCATCCGTGCTTACTCCTCACTTCCCAGTTGACCTGCTCAATGACCACGCAGAACACACGTGCACCATACTAGGTGCTCCGCACGTGCAACGCACGCGCAACGCACCTGATTTCTACAGTATATAAAGACGACTTGACGGGCGACTGCCAACTCGTCTCCAAGATGCCCAGGAAGGCTCAGAAGAAGTCTACCAGACAAGATCCAAAGAAACGGGCCGCGGAAGACACCAGGGCGGCTAGTGATGATGAAGTTAACAGGAGGTGCACGCACTTACAACGTGCGAGTGAGTAAGGAAATCGTGCGCACGCCGCACGTGTAGGTACGGCCTGTACGCGGCAACGTGGCAATCGCACAGAGATCGTACGTTGTAAGCACGTACAACTCACTTACCACTTGCGCAACGTACGATGCACGCAACCGCTGACGGTCAGGCGTGTCGTGCAGACCACGTACGTACACCTTGCGAGTGACGTACTCCCTCGGCCGGCCACCCTACGTTTGACAGAAAAACGTAGCAGACGTAGCCACGACAAAACGTACGGACAAAAGCACGCACGGCGAGTTGTGACCGAGGCTTAAGTCACTAGCTGTATCCAAACTAATATATAATTGTTCAGTACTCAAAGCCCCAGAAGACTTTGATAAGAAAGTCAATTCAATAGGACTGAAGTTTATATGGAATAACAAATCACCAAAGGTCAAGTTGTCAACCCTAATGGGAAACAGGGAACAAGGTGGCTTAAATATGATGAATTTTACTTGCATGTTAAAGGCACTGAACGCCAGCTGGATAAAGAGAATATACACAACAAATGTATTAGAATATCACTTCCACTGCTTTGGGGGAACTTTTTTATTAAAGTGCAATTTCTCAGTTAAAGCATTGAATGTTAAGAACATGCCTTCTTTTTATGTAAGCATGTTAGAAGCATGGTAGGAGTTAAATTCACACCGCCCACAAACTAACGAGGAAATAAGACATGAATTTCTTTGGAACAATCAATACATAGTACAAAACTGTAAATCGATTTTCTGGAAAAAGTTGTTTGAAGAGGGAATAAAAACAATTCAGGACATAGCCGATGAACATGGTAACATTTTAACTCCTGAAGATTTAAGAAAAAAATATTCAATTTCCTTGAATGCATCAGAGCTCCTAAGATATTATGGGCTGCGTGAATCCATCCCCACGAGTTGGAAAACGACCTTGAAAGAGCCTGACAGTATGTCTGTATGTAATATTAACGAACAAACACAGGAAATAGACATACAGAAAGTAACAAACAAAATCTTGTATAAGAAATATGTAGCAAGACTGTATGTCCCTCCAACAAATGTACATAATTTAGAAGTGATCTTTCAAGGGGATGTAATTCCTCGACTCTTCTTCGCCCCAAGTCGACTAGTTGAGACGAAACTGCAAAACTTTATGTTTAAGATATTACATAACTTCTTGCCAACAAAAATGTGGTTGTATAAAAGGAAAATAGGCGAATCAGGATTATGCCAACATTGTAATACAGAACAAACTATAATGCACCTGCTTTATCAATGCAAGTACGCACAACGAATTTGGGTTGAATTCTTTAAGTGGTGGAAAATTGTGGTAGGAAAAGACGTTAAGTTAGACCCACACGAAATAGTGTATGGTAGTGTCGATATGTCGAACAAAATGTACTTCTGTGTTACTGATATTAAGTTTTATTTATATAAGATGTACATTAAGGATTTACTTCATTTTACTAGCTTCGAAGAGTGTAAGACTAGATTTAAAGCAATTCACTTCTGATTTTATGATGATTGTAAATACGGGGGGGTAACTGATGGTGTGGGCGTCTCAGGTTGTTTTTAATATGCTAACATTGATCATGTATGTATAGTATTTGTATTTTTATACTGTAAACCTTTGTATGTGTCACACTGTATGTAATGTTTTCTGTATTTTTGTCAATAAAGTGTTTAAAAAATAAAAAAAAAATCCATAAAATGTACTTACTGTGGCCTAAAATTGTCGGCGGAGGGAGGGGGCGGGGTGATGAAATTCCATCGCCCAGTTTATTAAATCTACTGCCACCGTACTGTCATCATCTGTGTCAGCTACTTTAGATGCATTGTCTGGAGATATGTCTGTTTTTTCGATGGATGGCTCATGTATATTTTAGATGTCAGTGATATAATTAACTATTCTATACCTCTTGAAGATGCAACAATGTTAACACAAAGTCAGAGAAATATTTCATAACCCTTGAATGGTTCCTGATACACATTCACAAATTTGTCCCGCCGGCCATGGTTAGGGGGGCACACCCCAGTTTATTTTGGGTCTCAATTCGATTCTACATACCCTCAACTCTAGCGACCGTCTCTTTCAGGAAATACCTCTTAAGCCAAAATACTGTGTTTGCAAATGAAGGATATCTCTCTAGCTACGAGAACAATAGAATTCTTTCACCTCTCACATTTTAGTAAATTTCAGGGGGGAAAAGAATTTTTCGATGAAAAATGATGCGAAAAATTGGCCATTTTCACGTGGAATTAGACCCATCACCCAGAATTTAGCCACCAATATGACTTATATGGTCGGAGAGAGGAAACATTTATGTACTATTCAGAAAAGTATAAAGAGAATCCTAATACTGAGATTATCACAATACTAGTAGCCCGTCGCGCGAGGCATAGCGACAGCACCCCCAGAACGCATACAACGCATATATAGGTCAAACCGAAGCACCGCGCTGAAGGCAGAAGGACACCCGGAAGTAAGCCTGGGGCCCGAAATCAATTTTCACCCAAAACACGGCACTTCTTACACTTTCCAGCCATGTTAGTAGTTAATACCACTTTGTAGCAGATTATGAGAAATGTAAACTCAAACATGAACCATCGGAACCCCTTCGTCACTTTTTTTCCGGGCACTACCTTGGAAGAATTGGTGTGTGCACCGTTAGGAGTGGGACGGCTGGCGTTCGGCGAATTCGGCTGCGCCACACGACCGCAGCCCGACAGTATAGTTCGAAAAAGCTCGTCGGCACAATATAATGTACTACACCTGAGCGAAACCCGTAATGTATTGTACCTAGCAGTTAGGGCAGAACGTCTCACATAATGTTGTATTCACGTATATAAGGTTAACATCCCGTCTGTAGTTTCCAAATGTTATGTCGGAAAAGATATCGTCTGCAACAGTCAAAATTCTGATGCAACGTTGAGCAAAAATCCAACTAAAACCATGAAAAATCAGGGTTTTGCGCAGGCGTAGTACATTCTGCTGACATGCTATTCCAAAAAAATCTCTTCTTGTTTTGTTTGTTTATTTGTTTGTTTGTTTGTATGTTGTTTGTAGTGGACCAGGTGCCCCTGCAGAATCTGGCCGGACCTGGCGTGGTGGTGGACGTGAGGGACAAGACCAGAGACAACCCTGATTACGAGATTGGGCCACAGGACTTCCAGGACTGGGAACGAGAACATGGGCGGATCCCTGACGGCAGTGTGCTCATGCGTGAGTTAGACCTTTTTCCCACTGGGATAAGGTAGCAGAACGTACACAGTTTTCGCCCTATGGAGATTTCTATAGTAAGGACCCCAAGATGACTCACGTAGAAATTATAGTAGGGTGCACTTCACAAATACGAAAATTAAATATGTTTGAGAAGAAGGTATAAGCTATAAAATATGTAGAAACCAAAAAATCCTGTCGGCGTATCTGCTCGTAACGTACACTTTGAAATCACTCTCTACGGAAGAGATCTGAACTGCAGCAAACTCACCCGGAAAGCCAGTTGCGCAATACGGCGCATTTATACACGAAATGCAAAACCTTCACAATTCAAATCATACAGTCTCAAACCCGACACATTCCTACACCACACAGCGCAATTTACGTCTGGCTGACGCTCTAATTACAGGCTTTCTACCCAGCCTTCAAGAATATTCCCTGTACTACTTTCTATACGCCCATTAATACTGTGTTCTGCTACCATAAACTTTATTTGCCCGGAGGCTAATTGCTTTTACAATGAAGGATACTACTCAGTGCAATACATGTACAATAATAGAAGACAGGTAACAACTGTCTGGAAAAAGTTATACTTCTACTACTACGCTAGCTATCATGGGGTTCGACTTCTTCTTTGAAGGCAGTGGATAATGAATAGGCCCACATTCTGCATAATGAGTGGGTTTTGTGTTCTTAGTAGAAACGTAGTCTTTTGGTGATCTTCTAAATGACGAAAGGATGGAGAGATTGTGTGTTTGTGTCTGTCTGTCTGTCTCTCTGTAAACACGATAACTCAAAAAGACTTAAATGGATTGTCTTCATATTTAGTAGGTGGGTAGGTCTTGATGAGATCTCGAAATGATTAGATTTTGGGCCCCCTGGCGGCTTGTTATGGTACTGCAACGGAATTTCCGGTTTTGATATCTCATGATCTAGACATGCTGGGGTCACGAAATTTGAATGGTACGTAACTCGTGCTGGGAAAGAAGTGACGTAGGTTTGGACCCCCTAGCCGCTTGCTCTTGAACTGCAGGGGCGTTTGTTTAAAAAAAATCATTTATGTTATGTCTGATTTTCAGTCCGTACAGGATGGGGGGAGTGGTACTGGGAGCAGGGTGAGACTGCCTACCTCGGCACGGACACCGGTAACACCACCCTGCTGCACTTCCCCGGCCTGCACCCAGAGGGCGCTCAGTGGCTGGCAGACAACAGGAAAATGCACGTCATCGGCATCGACACTGGGTCCATGGATAATGGGCAATCTGTGGTGGGTTCCTTTTTATCCAGGGGTGCCAGAGTATACAGTGCAATTTTACGGAATGCATGCAATTTTATAGAATACAGTGCAATTTTAAGGAATACACTAGAATCGTATTAATATACAGTTCAATTTTACGGAATACAGTGCAATATTACAAGTAAAATTATACTTACACTGTAAGATCGGACTGTGTATTGATATGATTGCACTGTATTACGTAAAATTGCACTGTATACTAGTAAAGTTGCACTGTATTCCGTAAAATTGCATTGTATTCCGAAAAATTGCATTGTATTCCGAAAAATTGCACTATGGCACCCCTTTGATCTAGTCTCCACAATCAGACTCCATTGCGGGTTTAATAAAAAGTAGAAATTGGCCTAAAAATGTGATGTAATTGGCCAGATGAGTTGGCCGGCCAGAGAGCGTCTATTTGCAGGCCCTTTAGGCCGATTTCTACTATTTATTCAGCCTGCAAAGGAGTCTGGTGGAGACTACATTTTATCTAGTACTACCTTCGCCAAGACGTTTTCAGTAGTATCTGTGTGTGTGAATGTGCGTATGTGAATGTTTAACACGATACATCAAGAGGCTATTAAAGGGTTGTCATGAAACTTGGTAGGTAGATAGATCTTGATGAGACCTCGAACTACTATACTATCATAAAAGTTCATCGGTGTTGGTAGTTAACAGCTTTTGGTCCAACACAAACATTCTCTCACCTAGAGCTTTCGACCAGTTACCCTGGTCTTCCTCAGTAGACTGACCCAGTGAGGCTTGTCACGTGGCTTCTTTGAAGTGTGACGTCAACACTGGGTCAAAGGTATCTGGTAGACGTCTCAGTCTACTGAGGAAGACCAGAGTGACTGGTCGAAAGGTTTTGGTGAAAGAATTTTTGTGTTGGACCAAACGTTTTAAATTAACTTTAAACATGTTAACTACCAACACCGATGAACTTTTATGATAGTATAGTAGTTGGAGGTCTCATTAAGATCTATCTACCTACCAAGTTTCATGACAACCCTTCAATAGCCTCTTGAGGTATTGTGTTAAATCGATTTAAATCCATGTTTTCGGTATTAGCAAAAAATGAGCCATCGGATACTTCTGCCGAAGAGGGTGATCTTCATAGAGAACGTGGGTCACCTGGACCAGCTGCCGACTACCGGGTCCACGGTGTACGCCATGCCCATCCTGATCGGGCAGGGCAGCGGCGGGCCGGCGCGAGTCTTCGCCATCGTTGACGGGCGAACAAGCGCCTGTAGCCCGCTCACGTCTACCTTCGCCACCGTACTTCTGACGCTCTCCTCCGTCATACTCAACGTGATTTAAAACCCTTGTCCTTCATTTACAGTACCATCTATATTAAACCCTGTAAAGGTACGATTCGGGGGGTATTTCTCGTGCAATGGCATCACACCACAGCGAAATACAACCACGCGGAAGTAACTATGCCACTGCGGGGGAAAAATAATTGGGGGTCTATGATCTAATTAAGACATGAAATTATTGAAAAATATTGTGCCAGGAATGCCAGCAGGACAAAGGTTAAGCATCATCAGGTCACACCAATTTAATTTGTTGGTTCTCGGATTCGCCTCTTCATTTTTTTTGATTTCCAAAAAAAAAAAGATTCTGAATCAACTAAAAAATGCTCATATTTTGCACCCAACAGTTGAGGAAAGTCCTTTTCGTACTAGTTGTTACAGTTATTCCATCTGTCAATGCAGTGGATTGATTAAATGTTTAAAATTCATTGTTTAAATATTAACCCAGCCTTTTGTGTTGACTTCATGGCTCCTATTGTAGCATTTGGGTCTATAATAGCATGCCTAGACCTGTTTTCGCCCTGTCGCTTGGATTGGATTGGTGTGGCCTTGAAAATATAAATGAGCAGCGACGTTCACTTTCTGTATCTTTGTGTGTCGGACACAAAAATTGTTCAAGAAGGTTGTATTACTTTGTTATCATTCTGTACCTTATTAAGCCACTAGATTTTCGATATTAAAAAAAATGTCTGATTTAAAACACTATTCATTTGCTCTACTGTTATTTTCATGCATTGGAAACAAACATACATGTACACGCACCGTCTGTCCGTAAAAATCTGTATTATTTCAACGTGGTTCAATAACAGCGCCAGTGGTAGAAGCTGTACAAAGACTTTGTTCTTGAGTCAGAGTTGTGGGGTGAATGTCCTGTACACGTGTCTCTGATTTATTTGTCCGTGAGACTTACATGTAAGATCGTTTCCACAGTCGAACTGATATATGTTGAGATAAATCATTGTCTTAAGTCCATGTTCTGCACGTGTCCCTTGCTCGTGCATTTGTAACCTACTAACTAATTATAATCTCCAAGCAGATTCTGGGGAGTCTATATATTGTTGTGACCTGTACTTAGCCAAGTGTGGCAAAAATGTCCAATAAAAATCGTCATTCATTCATTTATTCATCCATTGGCCTCCTGTAACCATTGGCCGTCTTACATGTATGTTCGGCGGTACGGGCGGCCAATGGTTACAGGAGGCCAGTACTCTTAGTTGGGAGGAGGTATCCAGTCTATCGTGGTTGGGACAGGCTGGTTTCGGGGCTACAAGTAGGTTTCCCCCGCCCAGCTCAACAGACCGCCCGGTAGGTAGACTTTTGGCACGCCGGGAGTTGATCAGCCCCACCACAATTGAGTTCATGCCCGAGGGCTAATTGCAAACGGATATTGACAACAACAACAAAAAAACAAAACAATGAGTACAGGATGTGGTGATTTAAAACTATATGCTAACATAATATTATACGGTCTGCTTATTCAACTTATTGTATCTACTTTAAAACTAAAAACCAAAGTTGGCATACAGAATGTAGTGGATATGCTTTACAATAAATAGGAAACATGGTAACTACTATTCTATTTTATTAGTAGTATACTTTTCTAGCCAAGCTGTTAGGAGGTTTGACTTCTCAGGAATATGGCTAATCAAACTCCCGCCGTAAAAAACCTACCGGGGAACCTAGCTGAGGTGGGCGGAGAAGAGCTCCTGCAGCCCCGACGAAAACCCGCTCCAACTGCGATAGACCGGATACCAGGTTAGGTACAGGTCGTATGCGAGGCTGTGGGAAAGTCCTGATATGAATGTGTCACGGACAGGGCCCGGGAACTCACGTGGATACCGTCCTAAGGCTGGAGATACATGTGAGCGGGAGCGTGAGACTATATCATGTGTATCCTGTACATGTGTAGCTGAATCAACAGCCACGTGTAGTATGCCAAGGACTTTTGGTAAACAATGTCAGGACACGTGTGCCAGAACATTGCACGTTGGAGAAACAAAACGCGTTCATCCACGTGCATTCCTATATCCTATGTATATAAATAAAGGACTGTGACAGCAGTTGGCTCACAATAATACTACAACAATGAAGACAACTGAAGTGATGAAGCGGATGGTCATTTTCCTGATCCTCCTGCCGTACCGGACGGCGGAGGGAGCGCCGACGGTCAAGCCTCGGGTCTCTCCCGCAGAAGAAACCCTGCAGCTGCCGACACCGTCTACTGGACCTGCGGTACAGCCAGTTGGTCACGAATGGCCGAGCACCTCGTCTGAATCTGCAGCACAGCCGGACATGGAGTGGGACAGGTGGCCGACATCTCTCTCAGCACTCAAGGCAGTCAGACTAAGGCATAACTGCTCGTAAGTAGTAGTATTGTTATTTAGGCTATGTTGATTTGATTATATGGATGACATCCACGCGCGCATGAATTTTCGGCCGTTTCTAAAAAAAAGTTGTCAACCATACTGTAAATCGTACAAAACAGTTGAATGAGCAAATATATACTGTAGGTTAAAATAAACATTAGAAAACGATACCAAAGTCGTAAAATGCCAAACTCATACGAAAAAGACGAAAATATAAAGAAATGAATTTGAAGACTAGAGATCTTCACCAAACCATATTCTGTGCCATTTGTTCAACCTTTAAAACCACGTAGATTTCATAATGAAAGCAACTTTTTTGGAGGGCCAAACCTTTTTTATTCGCACGCTCGCATCAGTTTTGGGGTTCCCAGAGGATGTCACCCATATAATCAAATCAACATGGCCTTATATAGGCACACCTGTGTGTAAGAGGACTTCTTAGTTTTTGTTGCTTCGCAAAGTTGTAGTTGTTCTAGTTTTATCGTACATTTGACGGGGCTCATATGACAAGATTTGATAGATGAGTATGTGGTGTTGAAGGACATGTTATCAGTAGGGACCTGCCTGTATCTAGGTCCTGTCAACACGTCATGTACATTACAAGCTACCACCTGCGCGTTGTTTATATATTTTCTACTCAGGCACAGCCATATAGAAACTTAAGGCCACAGCAAGTAAATTTTATGGATGACATCCTCTGCAGACTCCAAATCTAATGCGAGCGGGCGAAAAAAAAGACGGGCCGAAAAAGACATGGTTTCTACATTTTAAAATTTTGACTCAATCATAGTACAAATGGTTTTGATTCAGTTGGAACATCACATATACACAGCCAGCATCACATATCACTGCATCAAAGTAAGAAACAAAACATTAAATCAGAGCCTTTTCTTGTCACTTCTCTTCATAGTTATCTGTCATCCACCTTCCGGCATGGCAACAGACATCTTTGCCCATTTTCGGGATGTTGACCACCGTCAGAAGACAGCACAATTTCTTTTTTTCCAAAATCAGGCGAAAATTAATGCGTGCGCTGATGCCATGCATAAAATTAATATTACTTGCTGTGGCATAATCTTTACAAGGTACATTATCCACATATATATGAAGACGACGTACGTTGTGTGCGCACTTACTACTCACCGTTTTGGTAACGCGCGTGGTAAATTTCCCTATAACCTCCTTGGTAAATCTGGGTCCAACGCGCATGGTACATTTTTGTGGGGTCATACGTGTGGTGTAACGACAGAGTGCTCGACATGGAACCCAGACGTCCCGAGTTCGAGTCCTGACATGCCACCGATCTTGTGAACTTGCAATTTGGAAAGGCACTTTCCTTACTTAACTAAGGTGAAAATGAGCATTGTCTTGTCCTGTATTTGCCCCCTGCGTTGGTGGTGGCATAAAATAAGTTGAAATAACTTGAATGCGCTGTCAATTTGTCTAGTCATGAAATGTTGGAGAAAAAAAAGTAAATCCAAAAAGTATTTGTCTCCCACTCAGGCCTCCGTGGAACCGCTACTGTCAGACCAGTGACTCCATCATCTTCAAGAGAGGCCTGGAGAAGCCGGATCTTCTGCGGGCAACAGACGGTAGGAAGAGCACAATGATGTTTACATTCCACAAAGGTCTTATTACTGAGGATACTTCGTGTCGTATGGCGTAACGGCAGAGAATTAGGCTCAGAACCAAGAAGTCCCGGGTTCGAATCTTGCCTTGTCACCAACCTTGTGTTTGATAAGTATTGTATTGTCCCCTCTGTTGGTGACGGCATTAGTATAAGTTAAACAAAATTGAATGTATGTGCCGTCACCACGTCTTGTGACTACATGTTGGAATAAAAAAAACAGTGGTTAGTGACTCTTGAATATGCCAGAATACAACCTTGGATTTGAAAATTTCCCCCAGTGACTGAAGTTGTTTATCTCTGGTTTAGGGCAAACTCCCGCCAGGCAGAGTACCGGGCCAGCGCCGGGACAGATGTCTCTGCTCCCTGATATCACCATTCCTGCTGCTACACACGGATTCCTGAAACGGATAGGATATCCAACACACCGCCAAGGCCCAGGATAGCTTCATGCGAAAACGCATCAATCCAAACCTCCCTTTTGGGATTGACCACATATAATACAGAATTAAATACGTTAGATTTAGACACATCCTGTGAGCAGTATAAGAAGTTATATTAAAAGTGACATGCATTTTATTATAGACAGGTATACTATAGTACAATTACAACTTTTTGGCGACGTCTCAGGGTTGTGGACTTTATCATTTCTATAATCCGTCGTTCTGGCAAATCATTTCACATACTTACAGTATGAATATGGCAGAGATTATATTTAATATTCTCATATCATTATTGACAAACAGCGGTGTATGGTTAGCCTTTCTCTTAGGACATTGTCCTGTTTTGACATTTGATATCATGACATTTGATATGTTATTCCAAGAATATCTCTAATATATTTATAAACTAACTTCGGTACTATTGTCTTTCCAGTAAGACCTGTAGTTCTAATATTTTGTAAATTTATTCTGGGAGTGAAAAGAAATGCGAGTAACCTTGCCAGCAGAGCTGAGCTCGGCCGTTTCCCCCTATGGATAGAAGCATATTACAGACAATATAATTATTACTGTAGATTAGTTAGTAACGTAGATACAAATAGTTTGCAATATGAAGATTGTATAGTATATAGTGATATAACCATATGATAGAAAAACTATGTGAATTGATCTCCAATTGCTTTAAAAAGAGAAATCTTCAAGACCTAGATTACTTTATTCTCTAGTAGTTGCTAAGACCTTTACGTTATTCTGTTATTCTTGTCATCATCATAGTCCTTTTCATCCTGTCGGACGATCAGTTCTTGTATCGATATCCTATATGTATCATATTACTCACTGTACCTGTAACATCACATTCTGATGTATGCATTCGGCCCCATGGGCATGAACATGCAAATAAAGATTCATATATAATATGATATGATATAATATGATATGTTCCTAACAACCCTCTTCCTCAAGCCGTTTGTCACTAAATTTTATTTCGTTCCGCATTTAGTTCCTACGAAGCTATTATTTCTGTCGGAACTACAGAACATAAGTATTTTTCGGAACGAAAAGTACGATATAAAAGAAAATAAAACACAGAAAACGGTTTAGTAATAGTCATGGGCATTATGTCTGTATATTCTTGATATGAAGTATGAATATGAAGTTTTCGTTCATACAAACAGCCCGGCCGGGCCCCGGTCTGGAAATGTGACGGCTCAGCATTAGCGTGGACCAACTCCCCTGGCATATCATCTGTCTATTTAATTTGGCCATTTCTACTCTTTTCAGCCGCTTCCCGAAGCCTGGTAGAGGCTTAGCCTCCACCAGGCCTTTCTACGGGAATACGGATCGTAGAATTCGGCAAAAAAGAGAGTAAAATTGGCCAAGGGAGTCCGGCCGCGGGGAGGTAGTTTCTTTCTCTCCCAAGTGCGAGGCCAGTCAAACCTACAAGGCGGCTAGCCTCCATAGCATGCCAAAAACTGGGGTCTAGGGGGGGGGGGGGTCTTCTTGGTGTTTGGGAGATTGTATGTGCTATTTTCTGATTGCATATAGACAACATAGCCGGCCTGGTTGAATTACCCCCGTTTTTGAACTGGGCTAATCAGAAAACAGCCGAAGACCACCAAACCCCCAGTTCTATAAGCCAGCCATGTACGGAGGCTACAAGGCGACCAAACTCCCCATATAGCCAGCGTAGTTAGACTAGTAGAGACTAGTAGAGACTAGTAGAGGCTAGTGACAGCTGTCTTCCGAGTCACAGAATTTGCCCTCTGGAAGTTATTACAATGTTACAGTTCCTCAGTGAATAGGGAATTACTGAGTAGTTTTGTCATCAGGGTGTTTAGCTTGGGGACATTTTTATGTACGGTTCACTTAACAGGAATGTACCATGTGTATATTTCTGCGGGGGCGTATCGGGCGGTTTTCTTTTTTAACTTTAACACAACCTGTGAGTACTAGTGTTTTCTATTTCTTTCTTAGACTCTAGTAGCAAACAATAGTTGTATAATGCTGGAAAATTGTATCCTTTTACTTTGTATATAGGTGTTTATTTGTGTTTTTATTCGTGTACTAAATGTTACAAATATCCAAGTTAACACGGTGAACACCCCCACAAAATAGTGGCTCCTGCCGTGAGTACGGAAACTTGCAGAACGAGTTTTGTTGGAACACTAAGTGAGACAAAATGGCGGTTCGAACGGTCGACTTCTGGTTGGTGCTTGTGACAACCATAACGTTAGGTAAGTGATTTTGTTAGAACTATCATAGTTTTTCCCCAGATATATAGTCTTCCAGTAGATTAAGTAGCATGTGTGAGCCACAATGATAGTGCTTCATGCCTCTGTGCAATACACGTCTTGCTGCTAGGGGTAATGCTTAGGTCACATTTCCAAAGCAGGGCCCGGTCGGGCTGTTTGTACGAACGAGAAATTAACTATTCATATCAAGAATATACAGAAATAGAGCCCATGACTTATTAAGAACTTTTCTGTGTTTTGCTGTCTTTTATATCGTAGTTTTCTTTCCCAAAAGCTGCCCGGCCGGGTCCCTTGTAGAAATTGTGACCTCAGCATAAGCTCGAAGTAATAATACTAACTGTCAACGTATTACAGGGAAAACTAGAAACTCCGTGCTGCATTTCATTGGAGTGTCCCGATTTTTATATTCAACTCTGTGAATGATTTCAAATTAGTGTGTGGGTGTCGATATGGGCAAATTTAGAAATAAACGTCATAATCTTGGTAGTATTTCAGAGAAGAAATCTTCACGAACAACTAAACTGTGGAAAATGTTTTTCGGTAACTATGGCGTGTTTTAGCTGCACAGTTTTAGTAATTGCAAACGTGCTGGAAAAATGTCATATAAAAACACTAGAGAAGACTGATTTCGTAGCAGACGTTGGTTACAACATTAGGCCACACCGTCTTACGTAATTTTATGGATGACGTCAACGCGCGCATTGCTTTTTACCTGTTCTCCAAAAAATTCATGTTCCTCCGAGGCTCTGACCTGGGTGTCATCCTCCGTAGTCCATGGTAGCCAGCGACAATAGGGAGCCTGCAGTAGGGCCAAACCGCCTTAATTTTATGGATGACATCCTCTCAAGACCCCCAAACTAGTGGGCGAAGAAAAAAAATCCGCGGCAAGAAAAAAAATGGAATACAAAGCTGGTTTTGTGTATTTGTGGCAGTACTTAGCGACGTATACGACAAGCCGGCACATGCTGGCTTTTTGCGGAATTTGTAAATCGGCACTGTACGATATGTACTGTGCTCTTGAGTCGTGGAGCTTCGGTAGCCTGGGTGCCCGGCTCCGTATTGTCGCTAACCACCATGGACTACCCAGGCCTAGAGCCAGGCCAGAGCCTCGGTGGACGTGATCTTTTTTTTTTACTTTTTGAGAACAGGCGAAAATCAATGCGCGCGCGGATGTCATCCATAAAATTAAGACGGTGTAGCCTTACCTTGCATACTTTCAAAATCCGCCAGGGAAATACGTTTTGAGCTGTCTTTCTTCCCCGGTCCATAAGGGCCATAAGGGCATTGATGATTGACAATAATTACAGCACCTCTGCGCACCAAAATGATGGTATATCATACTTATCAACACCTGATGTTACGGTGTGGCAGCAATCTCAACACAGAAACCGTCTCTAGGTTATTACGTGTGTCTATTTCTTGGCACTTGGCAGGGCCAATCAAAGTTCCAATAGCCCTGGACTCGAACACCTTCGTCAAAAAATGCATAGTGATTAGGCCAAATAACTTTTAGATAGCGTGTTAGTATAGTAACATAGCCCGCCTTTGTTCTTAGGATAACTTAATTTAACTTAAAATTGATAGATAATATTTTGATACTCTGTTAATGCATCTGAATTGTGATATTATTGTACAGATTTGATATTGTAAAGATAGCAAACGCATGCATATGGTATTCAGCTCATAGACCTTTAGTATGCTTGTTAACGTTAGACCATGTTGATTTGATTGTATGGATGACATCCGCGCGCGGCCGTTTCCCGAAAAGAAAGGTTTTCAACCATACTGTAAATTGTACAGAGCAGTTGCAAAATAAACAAATATATACCGTAAGTTGCAAACAAATTGGAAAACGATACCAATGCCGTAGAATGCCAACAAATGTGAATTGTAACTGACATTGTTAATTGTTCATTGTCCATTTATGAGGGCTAGTCCTTTATAAAAGCATTCACCTAGTTGGGCTGTCCTGGCTGTTCATGCAATTTAGTAAATCAAATCGAAAAGTGGAAATGCGAAAAAAAACCATAAAACTGCAAATACCCTGCGGACATAGAGTAGCTCTGTCATTGGTCGAACCGCTGTTGCCATTCTGTCATTGGTTGAACTGCTAATGTGATTGATCGGTCTATGCTAAGGGTTCCAAGAAGTGATTTTCTGATGTCCTTCTTACAGGGCTCGAAATACTGGGTGCATGTGCACCTTAGTGCATCCAAATTTGGAACTGTGCACCCATTGTTGTTCTGTGGGTGCACCAGTGCACCCAAATATTTTCTTAGGTTTACGTATGTAAAGATGTTAAAGATATAGTAGTATACAGCATATTCTTAACATCTAAGTGTCAGAAAAAAATAATACAGACATTGTTACAGTACTTTATTTACTTGAAATGAAACATAATTATAGGTTTTGCTGACATTCTACTTATTTTATCTTATATGGTGCACCTAAAATATTTTTGTGCACAAAATTGTTTAGGTTGGGTGCACCAGTACATGTATCTATTCCCAAAAAAATGAATTTGAGCCCTGCTCTTTATTGCTTTAGGCCACAGCAAGCAATTTTTATGGATGACATCAGCGCGTGCATTGGTTTTCGCCTGATTTTGAAAAAAAAAAGATTTTGTTGTCTTCTGAAAGTGGTCAACAAGCCAAAATGGGCAAAAAAGTCTGTTGCTATGCCGGAATGTGGACGGTAGATGAATATGAAGAGAGGAGACAAGACAAGGCTCTGATTTATTGTCTTGTCTTTTACTACTAAATTCATGCAGTGTATTTCATTCCTTTTGATTCATGTGATACGATGGTGGCTGTGTATATGTTATGTTCCCACTGAATCAAAAACATTTGTACAATGATTGGAAACTACAAAAAACTTCAAAGTTGTTTCAGTGATAAATGGATGCTGTAACAGTTGGCAGTAAACTTATCACAATATAGGTATCACTTCTTGTTCAATGATGTCACAATTTGAAAATTTAGGAACCTTGGAGTGGTAGACAAAACAGGTGAACAACTCTTCTCGTTCTTTTTCAGCTTGTGTAAGCCACGCCCTCCCGACGTACAATGGAGGCATAGAGAACCAATCCAGGGACAGAAGGGTAACATGAGCATCATTTTGATTTGCTTTTTGGTTGTTAATTTCTTCCTTTCTTTATTCATTTATTCACATATATTTATTGAGTATTCTCATTTGGGCAAAAAACATAAGTAACACCTTCTACTAAAAAACATACGAGTATAAAACACATTGACAAGATACATGTATAATTACAAGGTGGATAAAACCGAGATAGATACAAACAAGACAAGTTGGTGATCTATGAATTACGGGAATCTACCCGTACAGTAAATGAAGTTTTGAACTACATCGAAAACATTACAGTTTTGTAGGCGTGAAAGTGATGTGGACCCTCGAAGTAGTAAGGAACATAGGGAACTGTCATTGAGATGTTGTAGCTCTACTATGTTGGAGAGAGATGATAACAGAGTACAATGAACTTCTTTGACTGGAATAAAGTTTACAATGTGGTAGTTCAACTGACTGAAATTAAGACGGAGCCTTGTGTGAATGTCTTTGGCCATGACAGAAATGGAAGTGTTTTGTGGGTCTGTTGAGTAGTGAATTCAACTCATTTTTAAAGATGTTAATCGTGAGAGAGGCTTGGATATTTCATCCTCATTCCACAAATAAATAGTTGAGGGTAGGAATGATTTTTTATACTTTTCAGTGACTTGCTTTTTGATTTTTGGTTTCTAGAGTGACCTTAGTTTGTTAGTTACAAACGTGTTAGAGGCGGTCTGATACGTCGATGGATACTGTCCATCATCACACAATATATCAAAGTTATGTAAAACAGCTTTATTGTGGTAAATTACTCTGATGATAGTCAATTGGACAATCGTGTCGTCACTACTAAATGATGCGTAATAATAGCTTGAAAGTTTATCTGTGTTGGTAGAAGTCATTATGAAACAAGTTTGAACTGCAATTTCCAACACAGCAAATTGAACTCACGCAAATTTTTGACTGTACGACTCCAGTCTTTGTCAAGGAATGAACAATCCACCGCTTCCATGACGTCACGCAGATAACACACGTGACTCCGTGAGCAGTGGATCATAGGTTGCAGAAAGTCTGTGGCGCTCCCCGTCTCTGTTGAGGGATGGTTGTAATGCCCTAATGTGGATGGCCTCTTTAATCCCTCGTGCGAAAAAGTCCGCTCCTGTGTCCAAGATTCTTGTGTTGTGATCTTTATTTCATGTCTAGTGTAGACGTGAATATAAGCCATATACGTCACCACTATATGTAGGTATTGTATTGTTTGTACGTTGAAACAAGGAGGTTAAATACAAATACTTGACTTGGTTGAAATAAAAAAAAAATGTATATCAGTCGGTTACGACGACATAATTTCTTTTCTGTTCGAAGGCTGCTGAGAACTCAGGAGGTCTGAATGACGCCATCGACAGCATGCTCGCCAACGTGGAGGGCGTACTCGGCCGCCTGCACCAGCCGGAGAAACCCGACAACGACCGAGAAGAGCCCGAAAACGACCGAGACGAGCCCGAAATCTTCCGACACGAGATAAACAGAAAAGAGAAAGAAGAACAATTGGACGAATTACAAGAAGCGGACAACGGACTGAAGCACATTCTCGAGGAATCCAGGGAAGGTGAGGGAACGACTGAGGGAAAGAGCGATGCTTTGGAAGACCTCGGCAAGGCTCTGGCCAAAGCTGACCAAGAAGACCGGGAAGAAAATACTGCCGGAGGGAGGTCTGACAGACAAAAGGCAGGAGATAAAGAAAAGGAGAGAAATAGAGAAGACTCAGAGGGTGACGCCGAAGACAAGGATGACGCTGACAGTATTGAAGACACTGATGATACAGATGAGGAAGAATCAAGAGAATCTTCGGAAAAGGAAGAAAAAGGCGACATAGATACAGACAAGGCGTATGCTGACATCCAGAAAGCAATGGCGGAAATAGACGCCTTGCGAAGTAAAGATGGCCACGGAGACACAGACAAAGAAGGAGGAGACGGAGATAAGAAGGATGAAGATGAACAGGAGGAAAATGGTGAAGATGAAGATAAGGATGATGAGAAAGAATCAGAAGGGGAGGAGGAAGAAGAGAGACAGGAAGGGGGAAAAGAGGAGGAAAGGGAAAAAGATGAAGACCACGAGGACAAAAAAGAATCAGAAGAGAAAGAAGATGAGAAAGAAGGGGAACTAGATGAAGGAGAAAAAGAGGGAGGAGATGACAAGATTGAAGAAAGCAAAGAGGAGAACAAAGAGACCAAGAACAGTGATGAGAATGATAGAGAAGAAGAGGAAAAAGAAGACAAGGAAGAGGAAGTTAAAAGTGTCGACGACGACACAGAAGGGGAGACAGACAAGGAGGAGGATGAAGAAGATAAGGACAAGGAGGATGACGACATTGATATTGAAAAAGCATATGCCGATCTGAAGAAAGCAATGGCCGAAATGGACGCCATTCGCAAGAAGCAGCGAGGTGGTGGTGAAGAAACTGGAGAGGAAGGAGAAAAATTAGAAGTAGAGGAGGTGCGGGACGAAGGGGAAGAAAAAGAGAAGAAAAAAGAGGACGGTGGGGAAGAAGAAAACAGACCAGGAGATGGAGAAGAGAAAGAAAGAAAAGGAGATGGAGTAAAGGAAGACGATGGAAGAGGAGAAAAGGAGAAAGACGAAGGGGATGAGGAAGAAGATAAAGATAAAGGGGAAGAACATGAAGGGGATGAAGATAAAGAAAATAAAGAAGAGGAAGATGAGGAAGATGAAGATAAGGAAGAGGAGGAGGAGGAACATGAAGATGAAGAAGATGAAGATGGTGAAGATAAAGAAGATGAAGATGAGGAAGATAAAGAAGATGTAGATAAAGATGAGGAAGATAAAGATGAGGAAGATAAAGATGAGGAAGATGAAGAAGATAAAGAAGATGAGGAAGATGAAGATGAGGAAGATGAAGAAGATGAGGAAGATAAAGAAGATGAGGAAGATGAAGAAGATGAAGATGATGCAGATGATGATGATGATGATGAAGAGGAACATGAAGAAGATGATGATGATGATGACGATGAGGAAGATGATGATGAGGAGGAGGAACATGAAGAAGATAAGGATGAAGACGACGGGGATGAGGGGAAAGGCGAAGGGAATAAGGAAGAAGAAAAACATGAAGAAGATGATGACAAGAAAGAAGAAGAAGCCAAAGAAGGAGAGAAAAAAGATGCAGACAAGGACGAAGAAATCAGGGAAGAAAAGGAAGACGAAAGCAAAGACGGTGACAAAAGTGATAAGGAGGACAGGTAAGAAAAGGAAAACATTGTTTTTGCTACGTTTCTTCTTCTTCTTCCATTCCAACCACTGACCTCTGACCTGGCCATTGACCTGATTTGTTGACGTCTCTCACCATGGTAACTAGTGTTGCGTTACATAATGTTGCAATTTTATAGTAGGAGGGATTTACAATGTATACTCCTGTCTGACCACATATATGAATGTGTTTGAGTAAGAATTAATAGACCATATGTGAAGGTAAACATTATGCATTTGTTTTGCAAATGTTACCTTTTCTAGTTTTTTTAAATCAAATTTTCATATTTTTATTCTATTTCATCAGTAGTTCTGATGTGCAGAAACAGAAGAAGAAGCTCCTTCAGACAGCTGAGTACCTGATGGGACTTGCCATGAATCCCGACGTCTCCAAGGAGGAGAAGAAGCGCCTCCTAGAGGACGCTGCCAAACTGCAGGAGGCGGCACATGAAGGGGCGGTGCCTCCCGTTGAGTACGAGGGTGTGATGAAACAACATAGTCAACCTACGGAACTGGACATGGACAATATACATGTACCGATTATGTGAATAATACTGTGAAAAAAATAATGGTTCAAACTTTCCACTGGATATACAAATTTAAAGGCATCCAGTGCAGTTTTTAGGGCTTGGAAATCCGATTTTTCAAAGTCAATATTCTAGTCATTTATCTACGTACTGAGTTGAAACCACACTATCCCAATGTATATTGACCCTCTTAGAGCAAAAAGACCCGAAATTCTGACAGAAAATGGTTACTGGAAGGGCCCTGGGCTGATTTTTAGGGAACCACCCGGAAAATAAAGATCTCATCTTGCGGCTTGTTTCTGCACTTTTAAATACCGAAATTATGAAATAATGATTGAAATGCGCTAATGTGAAGCAGTATGTGTCAATATCATAAAGATTGCCTTATTCAGAATATTTTCAGTTTTGCTGCTCTGAAATCGCACTGAATGCCTTTAATAGAAAACATTTCATCGATGAGGCGACAGTGTTGGAATGACACTTGAAACATCTATCAAATTTTTATGTCCAATGGAAAAGTTTGTAGTTTTTATAGATTCAACCCTGGATGTATACTCTTCACAAACGTACACTTATATGAATACATTTTATTTCAACAACACAAGAAAAAAATTCTCTGAGGTGGATTGCGAAAGGATGGTTTGGTGTACAAAATCTCCGTACGAGTGTAAATACCATGATGAATACTTGTATACACTTTTATATGTTCACGGTAGCAAAAATTCACGATGTGAGAAAAATCGAGGTGTTCGCGGAACAACATGTAATGGTCACGGTGGCGGCAGGTGTAGAAAAAAATAAAGTCGACAATTTATTTAACGGTAATGATAAGTTCACGGTCACGAAAGAAGTGACTGTGAAAACCACGAACATGAAAGCACATTGAAAAACTTGATCAAGGATTGTAGTATTGTAGGTCTGTTGTCCAGTACTGACTGACAATATCAGATTGGTTAGACCGTAGATGACAAATAAAAACCAGGTGATTAGATATGATGTTACACTGTATTTTATATTCTTATGCAGTAGTTCAAGCAAGGACTCGAACCATTGTGGACTCGAACCCATTCAGTATTCAAGCTCTCATAGTTGACTTGTTGTACAACCTGTGAAACTTTTTCGATGCCAATATTTCTCCAAAGTCTCTTAACTCTAATCCCCTATCTATACATTTTACATGAGACTTTCCATTGTTTTAACAGAGTTGTTTAAAATGACAACTCTTCGCCGCAAGTGTGTGTGCAACACTTCACAACACACACAATCATGTCTTTGCTGACATTATGGGAACGAGAGTGAGTTGTAAGCCCTGGAGACGAGAGTTGAATGAGTTCATTTGTGCTGCGGGGGTGTTGAGTAAACAAACAAAAAACAATATCAGTTGATATATCGTAACTAATACACTATCTTCTTTATGAATGACCCTTATATGACTGATGCTTATGTCATGTGCATTAATATTGCTGGTTAGTTATTAGATGTGGCGTCAATATAAAAATCCCCCCTCTAGTTGAAATGGACGCTCCGTTCCGTCAGACCTGCGAAGGTGACAGAAAACGTGTGCAGTCGGACAGCAGTGGAAATTTCCAGCTCAGCAAAAACGAACATTTCCCACAGAATGTCGTCTGTCGTAGTCGTAACCAGGTGGGTGGCACTAAGTCCTGGTGTTGATTGAGTCTAGGTGCTTGTTTGCGGCCGCGATTTAGCTAGAAAATGTGCCGAGATTTCGGGTGAAAATAACGGTCAACAGGTCATGTTTTTTTGGGTTCTCTGAGCCGGGGTCACTTTACATGTGTATAATATTATATAAACAAGCGAACTAACGCGAGAAGTGACGCCAGTTCGCACGGGCGTTACGCTTGTGCTTTTGTTTTTCTTGTTAATGACATAATCTTTGTTTTATTTATGGTAAATCTGTTTGTATTTGTGATTAGTCGAAAGAGTGACACCCCCCTCCCCCCAAGAGAACACTATCCCTTGGCTAAGGCCGCACGACCTAAATTTTATGGATGGCATCATTTGAAGACCCCCAAAACTTGTGCGCGCGGGCGAATAAAAAAAGTAAAAAGGCTACTAAACCACAGGAATACAAAGCTACCGGTAGTATTGTGAATTTACAGTAGTACATATATAGCGACGTATACGACAAGCCCAGCCTTCTCAAAACATGGCGGCAACAGGCAAAAATCACCACCTACTTAAATTTTTGCACCGCCTACTTTCGTGTAAACTTAAGAAAAACATTGCTTGTCTCCGTTACAAAGCCCTTCATGGCTCGCCAGCTAGCCAGCTACTCTAAATTTTTGTGAGAAGGCTGCAAGCCAGCACATGCTGGCTTTTTGCGGAATTTATGAATTGGCACTGTAACGTTACGCATGTACTGATTTCTTGAGTCGTGGAGCTTGGGTAGCCTGGGTGCCATCCTCCAGAGTTACCGCCAGCTCCATATTGTCGGTAACTACCATGGAGTACCCAGGCCAGAGCCTTGGAGGACGTGCTCAATTTTTTTTTTTTGAGAACAGGCGAAAATCAATGCGCGCGCAGATGTCATCCATAAAATATACTATATTGGAAGACATGCATGTGGATCGGTGGATGGTAGGGTGGTAGGGGATTGCACTTGACACGTACGTTTTTTATATAGAGGAAACTCCGTCTCGCCCAATACGATAGGGTCTGAGGTGGTAGTGATGACGATTTGAGGATTATCGTCGTGCGACTATTTTGATCGTCTTTAGGATAAAATACCATCGCCAGCAACATCTTGACGATAAACATTCTCACGACTTTTCAATCATTGTCAGTCTAAAATCGGTCTAAAACTAAAAGTAAAAGGCCTAAAAGTAAAAGTACAAAGATAAAATCTGCTTTCAAGTAACAATTTCAGGATCTGCTCAGTCAACTGTAAATCCTGTCAGACACACCTGTGACACACCTGTGTGCAGATGACATCTTGTTGTCAGGACAAGCTGTGCAGAATAGACTTTGATCTGTCTAACAAAGATGGAGGCTTTGTTTACAGAATGTCAATACTGGATGAAAAGGATGCACCTAAGTGGTCCTAAGGCTGGTAGAAGCTTAGGCCACACCAATTTAATTTCTTGGTTAACGGATTCGCCCGCTTCATTTTTTTCTGATTTGCAAATAAAGATAAAAATTCAGAATCAACTGCAAAATGCTCATATTTTGCCCTAAACAGTTCAAAACAGTTATTTTTCTTACTAGTCTCCTTGTTGTTACAGTTATTCCATGTTTCAATGCAGTAGTATCATTTAAAGTTCAAAATTCATTGTTTAAATTTTGAACCAGCCTGGTGTGTTGACTTCATGGCTCCTATCATACCATTTTGGGCCATAATAGGATGCCTACGCCTGTTTTTATTTATTTATTTTTTTTCGCCCGCCCGCTCCATTATTTCTCTAGAAAAATCTGTTAACCAAGAAATTAAATTGGTGTGGCCTTACAAGGAAATATCTATTGCCATTTAAAGAACTCAAATGCCTCACATTCTGAGTCAGGGATGGAAATTAAAGGTGGTCTGATGGCCACTGACCACTAAAATTTAGTATACTACATTTGTCAATAGTTCATTTTGTCAAATATGTTCCTTAAATTTACTAGTGCTTGTTCAGGATAGTAGCTATACTATATAGTGTGACATAGTTTCAGAATGGAGGTAGAAAAAAGAGAGGCTACTACTAGTCTACCAGTACAAATTCATGTATATTTGATATGTTACTAGTGACACAAGATATACTATTACTATTTCAACATTATGGCAATTAATTTGATAATGAGATTATTGAGTATCAAAAACTAATGTCTGACTAACTTAACTTAAAAAGATACAAAAACTTTCACCCCTTCATAACATTGTGGTACAGTTTTCTTGACCTTTGACCTCATCACCCAGGTCCCTAGACTAGACAAAGTGAGCTTTTGACCCTGCCATACAAAGTAGAATACTGACTTTCTATGAAGACTTTTGGTAACTTCTCTTGAAAAAAAAAACGCTAACTTCACTTGAAAGAAATAAAAAATGTTTTACCCCGTAAAACATGGGAGAATGGTACAGTCTTCTAATGACCTTTGACCTCATAACCCAGGTCTAGACAAACTGAACTTTTGACCCTGTAATACAAAGTTCTAGTAGAATACTGACTTTCTATGAAGGCTTTTGCTTACCAATAGGTTGTCTATGGATACGTAAGTACTCATCTTTGAGTTAAAACTTATTCATCTATGACTAACCCTTCTTCCCACCTGCCACAATAGTGACATAATAGCAATGAAATCTGTTTACCTCGCTTGACTGCATAAGGAAGGTAGTGGTTTTTCCAGGGCTACCTAAGCTTAAAACTGGTATCCACATGTAAGCTTGTATATACAATTACATGCAAGTATTGTCACTGCAGATTATACTAATTACTATAGCCTCCAAACTGTTTGGTGTTTGACTAGACATATTATTCTCAGATGTCTTGTTTGTACAGCTGCTATGTTGAAACTTTAATTGTATACATTGCAACAAAGTGTATACAATAGAACCTGTATGCCTAGCTCATGTTGTGTTTGTCACAAAATACCTTCTATGTTTCAGACAACATTAACCCCCCCCCCCTCACCCACCCACCCCCCTGGCCCTGCTTCCCGTGAAAAATATTAAATTCATAATGTATTTTTTTCTATGATGTTTCTAGATTCATTTTGACCAGTTTTGTTTACCTTTCAACAGGCAGTTATTCCGTGTACAGAGGATATTCCACCATCTGGTAGGTGATACTTTACTAGTACTGTCAAGACCATTATTACTATTAGGCCATGTTCATTAGTATAGAAAATTAACGGTGTCACTGTCAATTGGCCATTGGGACATCGTAACGTCACCACTAAAATTGAGGCCGGGACAACTACGTAGTAGAAAGTCTGACTTTGGGACATTTTTAGGACAATAGAAAAATAATCAACATCAGAATGTCAGCCCTTCTTTTGTTGGTCAGGCACGCGTCCCGGATTTTGGCTCCGGAAAAGCCCACCAAATTATACTATAGCACGTCTGAGAGTCAGAATGTAAGCAAAATAAAGTTGACTTCAATGTTGTTAAAATACATTTGTGTACTTCCAAAAACACACTGTTGGGACAGTTCATCCTCACTTCAAGACAATTGAAATTTATTTCAGGTTCAATGCTGGGACAATAGAAAAAATGTAATTTTGAGGCTTGCTTCAAGTTGTTATTAACATACTTCCCAAAAAACAGGTTGGGACAGTTCATCCTCACTTTGGGACAATTGGAATTTATTTCTTGGACAATGCTGGGACAATAGGAAAAAATATTAATTTTGAGGCTTGTCGAACTTTCTTAAAACATCTTTTTTTTTCCTACTGCAGAGAATGTCCTCGACAGCTGCAGCCCAGCCTGAGGTCCTGATGGAGAAGCAGAGAAACGTGGGAATCATCACCCTGAACCGACCCAAGGCTCTCAACGCACTCAACCTCAACATGATCAGACAGATATACCCACAACTCAAGGTCTGGTCACCACTAAATTACTTCACAAGTTCAGAACTAAGATACAGCTGGTTGTAGCCCAGTTTTAACTTGTGTAAATGCATGTAACATTCGGTACATGTACTATGTTCATGAGCAACCCTCATCTGCAATCATTACTGTTCATCATTAGGCCTAGGGAAAAAAATGTGTTTCCTGTTTTCCTACACCGCACCATAATTCAACTTTTACAGTCTCAAAACTTACGTATTCCTCTAACATTCACCACAGGTTCTATCTTGATGCCATGCACAGAACAATCTCTGCGCCTTTCTCTAGTATAGCACTACTTTGTGCCTGGACTACTTTTGATTATGGAGTTCGCCTGTTTTGTGTGACCTTAATGTCTGACTCAGAAATCAAAGATGCCCTCTGGCAGAACATACAGAAACTGCACCTCCAAAACATAAAAAATACCTATAGACCAACAAGCCCAAAACAATACAGGCAGTATTGAACATCCTTTAAGTTATAATTAGTACTGCTAATAGTAGTCTGTCAGTTAATCACATTGTGATTCTTGTAATCATTGTGTTCACCAGAAATTGTGGTATTAAACTATTCATCTCTGTAAACACCCTTTGAATCATTTGTTGCTGTATTCAGGAGTGGGAAGATAACGATGACACGACCATGATCATCATGAAGGGTGCAGGAGACAAGGCCTTCTGTGCTGGAGGGGACATCAGAGGTTAGTAGATAGGTTTATAAAATTTTTCCATCACACACCACAAAGTTCCAGCAATTGATGGAAAACAAGGGATTGTATTGGGATGCCTTGAAGGTTTAAACCCTTGTTAAGGCCACACTCATTTAATTTGTTGGTTCACGGATTCACCTGCAACATTTTGTTCTGATTTGCAAAAATAAAAAAAATTTAGCAAATAAGTCTGGAATGTTCATGGTAACACAGCATTTGTAACACATGTAACACAGCATTTGGGGCTATTATAGGATACCTAAGCCTGTTTTTTTTTTTTTAAATCCGAGAACCAACAAATAAAATCTGTGTGCCCTTACAAACAAGAAAATTTTGTTTGTTTGTTTTTATTAGATCTCCATTAGTGTTCAACTGACCACTATTCTTCCTGGAGTCCACATAAAATTCAAAATTAATGACATAGAGTAAAGAGACTCTTTTTACACAACCAAGTCTTTTATTCAGCCGACGTTTTAGTGACCGTCTGTCACCTTCCTCAGGACAATTCTGACTGGTTCACATTGTACTGCAGCACAGGTGTCGCTGCTATACATGCATTCCCAAATGTACAATATTTACATATCTGCACATATGCGTGAATGGATTACAGGGAAATGTATTACAATGCATTCCCAAGCGTGCGGAACTTGGATATATACATAATGGCTACTCTCCAAGCAGAGGTTAGGGTTTTGGGTTAATTATTTCTGGCGTGGTTTTAGACTTTTTTAATCAGGGTTTCTTTTTTGCACTGGAATTTTTCAAAAGCCTAAAAACATATTAAAAATACCCCAAAATCCAAACCTCTGCTTTGAGAGTACATAATCGTGGTCAGGTATTTAAAAGGCACAGGCACAAGAAGTATACAGAGAACTAGGAACTATTCACGGAAGAAAATGACAGTAAATCTTGTTGTGTCCCTCCCTCCAGCGGTGACAGAAGCTGGGAAGGCAGGAGACCGTCTTGCTGCTGACTTTTTCCGAGAGGAGTACATCCTGAACAATGCAATTGGTGAGGTGGAGATGCTTGTTCTTATAAGCTTGCTTTAGCACTTTGGCAGAAGGTAACATACTGCACCTGTGCAAAACCCGTAATGTATAATGTGCATAGTACTTTGGCAGAATGTCTCATATAAGGTCATATTTGCTAATATAAGGTAAGCATTCCGACAGTAATTTCCAAATGTTACGGCGGAAAAGATATCGCCTACAACAGGCAAAATTCTAATGCAACGTTGACCAAATATCCAACGAAAACCGCAAAAATTCAGGGTTCTGCGCAGGCGCAGTACGTTCTGCCGACGTGCTGCTTGCTTTATGCATCATTATGTATATAATTGCTAATTTCAGGAATGGCACAGTGGATGTCTTCACAAACTTCTCAATTCCACAATCATACTACTTTTGCTTGGAAACTGATTGTAAAACTTGTGCCATTTAAATAGGACTGCTTCTTTTTTAATGGAAAAATTGTGTGTCTGTGATATTACAACTGTTACATTACTGTATGTTATTGTCATTATTAGGCCACACTGATTTAATTTTATGGATGACATCTTCTGAAGACCTTTAAACTAATATGCTCAGATACATATAGATGAGCAATTCAAGTGTTCTGAGTATGTTTTTAGAGGATACTGTAAATTCTGTAATCATTTTATGTTCACAGTAGCAAAAGAAAAATGGAGGTGTTCACGAAACTAGTACATGCTCACCATGATGGCATGTGAAGAAAAAAGGAAGTCCACAAATTATTTGTTGACGGTAATGATACGTTTGTGATGCAAAAGTGACTATGAAAACCGTGAACATAAATTTTTAAAGCACTGTGAAAAAATCAGGAATTACAGTATTCAGTACCTTCAGTCATTTTAGTCACGGTGTTCAATGTCTTCCCCAGGCACCTGTCCTATACCTTACATAGCATTCATCGATGGGATCACCATGGGAGGAGTAAGTTGGCTGTCAATCAATCAATCAATCAATCAATGCACCAATCAATGAGCAGCTTTGTTGTGTAACATGATCAGCTTTAGAACAAGAATTCCTTGATGAATTGGAAAGTACATTGTACATGTAATATATTTGAAATAACATACATGTATTTGTAACATATTTGAAATAGATGGCAACTTTCCTGGTGCAATGAAATTTGGTTTTATATATATTTTCATAAGTGATATTCCTTCATCCAACTTTTTTGGGGATTATCTCAAAACTTGCATGTTTTCTGTCCAGGGAGTAGGTTTGTCAGTCCACGGCTTGTATCGTGTTGCCACAGAGAGGACGTTATTCGCCATGCCTGAAACTGCTATAGGTAAGTCACGAGTCAACAGTCAAACACATTGTGATACACGTGTTGTACATGTACATGTCAATCAATATAGAATACTACACGGTGTGTTCCGGATCGCCTGAAGGCCGGAAGGAGATCTGATCTATCTGTGGGAGGGCTGGGACCGAGGGTGATGCAGAATACACTGTGTAGTATTTTATTTATGTCATACCCACCCAAGAAAACAGACATTTCAGTGCGAAATTTGGTGTTTGTAAACAAAAAGTGTAGCGGCGTCAATTCCAACATCCAAATTCGGTGGTGAAAAGTTTCGAAAGTGGTTCACTTGGTGCGCGTGAAATGCGTTAACTTTGACTTATTCTATGGAACATTTGGAAGCCCAGGCCGTTTTGCTAGTTATCACACGGGCTGGAACACCTGTATCGAACGTTATCGCAGCGAAAGTATGATATACTAGTGGTACATGTAGTAGTAGTAAGCAAAATTGAATCCTTTCTTAGAGTTAGTAATATAGCATTTGTACATGCACAGTACATGTACCATGTATCAAAATGTTAAGTAATTTCATTATCTGTCAACTTTTGCCTTGTGTTTTGTATCAGAACATTCATTACAATTACTTACCATCAGTATTTATTCCCAACAATCTTTTCCCAGGTCTGTTTCCTGATGTAGGTGGTGGGTACTTCCTGCCCAGGCTAGGTGGTTCCCTGGGCATGTACCTGGCTCTCACCGGATACCGGTTAAAGGGCAGGGAAGTCTACAAGGCCGGCGTGGCCACACATTATGTAGAGTCTAACAAGGTGAACCATCTTTTGCATCTAGGCCACAGCAAGTAAATTTTATGGGTGACATCCTTCGCAGACTCCAAACCTAATGCGAGCGGGCAAAAAAAAACAAGGTTTTAAAACTTTGAGTCTGACTCAATTATTGTACAAATGGTTTTTATTCGGTGGGAACATCACATATACACAGCCAGCATCACATATCACTGCATCAAAGTAAGAAACAAAACATTAAATCAGAGCCTTTTCTTGTCTCCTCTCTTCATAGTTATCTGCCATCTTCCAGCATGGCAACAGACATCTTTGCCCATTTTTGGCATGTTGACCACTGTCAGAAGGCAACAAAATTTCTTGTTATTTTTCCAAAATCAGGGAAAAATTAATGCGCGCGCTGATGTCATCCATAAAAATTACTTGCTGTGGCCTAATGAAGATTTACTGAAGGAAAACATATGGTTTTTGCTCAGTTTCTTCTTCCTCTTCCGTTCCATACAAATAAGGTCAATGACCAGGACCAGACGTCTATCACCATGGTAACTGATGTTGGTTTACATAATGTTGCAAATTGGAATGAAAATGATTTACATGTACAATGTATAGATGGGTTGACTTTTCTTTGCCGTTTTTCTAGCTGCCAGCCTTAGAAGAGGAACTGATGTCTTTGGAAGAGAAGCGTTCTTCTGCTCAAAAGATTGACGAACTGCTGACAAAATATCATAAAGAGGTGAGAGTTTGAAATCCCAATACCTATACTTTATGTACATGTACATGTATATCAGTTATGTCCCTTCAAAAATAGGGTTGGTACGTGGGGAATTTTTTTGTCTCAGATTTTATCTGAAATGAACCAACGGAAGTTGGTGTGTTATGCCGAAAGGCTGTTATAGTACCGGCTCTACAGATACAGATACAGAACAAATTTTACCAGAGTTATCAACCAAGGATGGAGGTGTTCAAAAACTCATTCTTTCCTAGAACTAATGCAATTCTCGGTTGGGAAACAGAAACACATTTTTTCCTAGGCCTTACTACCTGACTTTGTGTTAAGGATTCATCATTTTTCAACTTTTTCTCATGTTCTTCCTCTCTTCTAGACCAAGAGAGAGATGCCATCTGTGCCGGACTTTTCTCTGGAACCACACATGGACAAAATCAACAGGTAAAGAACCATGTCACATCAGTACATGTATCAACATGCTTTCCTGTCTGGAAGTGTTGGAATTGTTGATTGATTGTTTGGATTTCTTTATTTTTGGTACCCTGACCCACAACAACACATTACAGACATAGATACACATTATTAAGTACACAAGTTGTGAGTTTATGAATAATGAATAATTTATTTTTAAGATACAGTTAATAAAAGACTAGTTTTCCAGAGGCAAGCGCTAAATTAACGTACATGTATAAAGAAGCATCTCAGACTACAAAATGGTCTTTTTTGATACAGGTTTTGCAAAGCTTGGATGTCTGCAAATTTTGTAGGCACAAACTGTTACACATATTTGGATGCTTGCATCTCCCCTATTTCTTTTTACTTGATTTGCTGGTGGCTGCATCCTGAAGATATTACAAGCTACATGTAACATCCTTTTTATCAATGTTTGATTCCCACAAAATGCTCTATCCTTTCATTTTTCCTTGTGCATGCTATCCTTTTTACACACAGCTTTTTATTTTACTTTAGGCCACACCAATTTGACTTGTTGGTTCTCAGATTTTTTCAGTAATAGTATTAGGCAACAAAGCAAAAAAAAAAGGCCTAGGCATCCTATGGTAGCCTGGTAGCCTCAAATGCGTTGATAGCAGCCATGAAGCAAACATACCAGGCTGGTTTACAACTCAAACAATGAATTTTGAACTTTTAATCAAACTTACCATTTCACAATGCAGTAACTGCATTGTGAAATGGTACGAAAGTTACTGTGACAACTAGAAAGTTGGGGCCAAAATTTGAGCAACTCGAATCTTTTTGCAGATCAGAAAAAAATTAAGTGTCACTGAGTGAATCCAAGAACCAATTAATTGACTTGGTGTGGCCTTAGATTTGAAAAAGACATTTATTTGGTTAAATACGAAATGTATGTTACTGTTTAAAATGAAAACCATTTGGGTTTAATTTTCAATTCCTGGACCAGTTTCAAGTTCAACTTAAAATAATTATGATATATGATAAGCTGTGTGTAAATACTGTTTTCGGAAACAAAGAAACATTACCCAGTTTTACACAGTTACCACACCTAACAGAGAATATGAACAAACCCTTCAATCTGATACTCACCATCCTGATCAGATGGACATTGTGCTTGACATGAGCTGTGATACATGCATTGGTTTTTTCACTGTTGAAACTTTCAACATGTCAGGGCTCGGAACTAAAAAGTCTGAAACATCACCTACAAAGCTATGTCATTTCATAAAAAAATACTTGTCCAAAAGAAATTATTCTGGTCAAAACCAGCTTCAATCTCAGAAATAAAATTAGAAGGAAGAATTTTTGTACATTGAAGATAAAGTCCAACAACCTTAGAAATATGATACAAAAAAGCTATAGGGGTGCCAGAGTATGCAGTGCAGTTTTACGGAATACAGTGCAATTTTACTGAATACAGTGCAATTTTACTGAATACAGTGCAATTTTATTAGTATTCATGTCAGACTCTGCAATTTTACGGAATACAGTGCAATTTTATTAGTATACAGTGTAATCGTATTAGTATACAGTGCAATTTTACTAGTACTGTATTCCATAAAATTGCACTGTACACCTAGTAAAGTTGCACTGTATTCTGTAAAATTGCACTGTACTCCGTAAAATTGCATTGTATTCTGTAAAATTGCACTGTATACTTTGGCACCCCTGAGAAAGCTGAATTGCATTTATTATTCTCACATATTCAGTGTTGGTTCAAAGCCTAAAAGCTGGCAAAATATTTTACTGGTGCAAGAAATTGTGGTGTGTTTCTGAAACACCACTAGTACAGCACTGGCTGCTATAGATCCGAGGCCTGACGCCCTGTTCTAACCAGTTCATGTTTAATTATCGCAGTTTGCAAGTAACCCAAGCACGTTGTAGGTGGGGATAAGGATGGTAACAGCCTTTTTTATTTAATGGCTGAGGCGCAACACTGTCTCTTCCACCGTCTGGCCAAGGAAATCGGTAAAACAGTTTTCTCCGTCAAACGTGAACCGCCATATTTCTTGGTGTAGACCCCATAGATTCCCGTTTAATACCTCGTTAGTTTCATTTTTCTGGGAGAAAATGCCTCTTTTTAGATGGAACAAATGTCACAACGTCTATGAATATATGATTACATTTGCAAAATTGACTGTAGAGTTACTAGTAGTTCTAGTGCTCTGTTTTTGGACCTTAGCTTTCTTCTTCTGAGTGTCTGTTCTGTGGTTTTGTATCAACATGGGAGTCTACACTGGAAAATATGGTCACAGTACACCAGCGCCCTCTATCCTTGGTAACAAAAAATGCAGTAAGATATTCTGCTGTGTTATTTGTCGGCAAAATTTGAAGCCGTAACAATCCAAAATAAAACGGTGCATCAAAGATTTTGTTGAAAATAACAATTTCAGGGGAATGGGGGGTAACGCATATTCTGACAAGAGTTTTGGAAAAATCAAATTTTGGTTTGTGAAACTCATAGGCTAGATGTAAAATATACTATTAGACACTTAGGTCAACTATGTAGTATTATAACAATGCTACATTTTATGCTCATAGGGTTGTCTTTATTTGTCACAAAAGTCCACTAGCTATATAGTCAGGTGCAAGGGAGATATGAGAACATTTTTCTGAGCAAGAAAAAATAGCATAGGGTTTAAGTTGTAAGGCTCTTCTCCAGCTCTCATATTGTCCACCTGCTAGCAAATCCCATTTACAGGAGGATGACCCACAAAGAAGACTCTCAACTTACGAACTATCATTATCGTTGTTTAACATGTAACAACATTACAGCCATGCAGCAAGGTCCAGTGAGAGTCCACACATTTCAGGAGTAGCTGAAAACACATCAGTAGTCTAGGAGTAACTTTTTTGTCATTCTAACTACATGTATGTATATAACATGGTGGTACGTATCTGTGCTTTAATGATACACTGTGTGTGTGTTTGTTTGTAGCCTGTTTTCCGGAGACAGTGTAGAGGAGATTTTTGAGGCCCTGATGGCAGATGGGTCTGAGTGGGCCATGCAGCAGTTGGAGGTGAGTAGATTGTGTCTTTCTGATGTTTATAATTCAGGGCTCAAAATACTTTTTTTCAGGTATGTGCAAAATTGCACATTAGCAAAAATTTTAGGTGCAATTTGAAAAATTTATGTGCAAAATCATATACATGATTGTATATATGTCGGTGAAGGTTAGACATCCAGGTAATAAGATATGCCAAAAAACAGTTCCTCAAGCAACTGGATATGATTTTGGAAACGTTCACAGACATTTCAGGTACATTTGTAGCATCCACTTAACCTTTCGTCACAGACACTAAGAGACCTGATAACTTCCAAGGCCCTGTTCAGACAAAAGCTGTGGAAGCAAGATTCAGGTAAATCGTATACCTGACATCTGGTCTGCGCGCCACACGTTCTTTCAGAATCGCACCCAAACACGATTTGGCTAAACTGCAATCATTGCCGTTTGAAAGTTTGTCAGTACCGAACCACCACCACCCACCCCCACCTCGGTTAAACGAAGGTCGGTTTGCCCTGATGTAGATGGCTTCCTTCACTCCTCTTGTAAAATAATCATGTTCTGTGTCTACGTTCCAAATTCCAAACTTTTACCCAGTGCTGACATCACAAGTGGAAAAATTTTCTTGAGTTGGAGAACAGTTTAATTCTCATTATGTATTTTACCAACTCTCTAGTGCCCACACTTCGAAAATTCTCAACAAGGACCTGTCTTGCCACTTCCACCGAAGCAAATCACCCTTTCTTCCTCCATTCACCACCTCTTAGGAGGAAGTTCCATGCTGAAAGCTTCTTTCCAAGAACAACATCACTTTGGAATAAGCTACCTCGTGATTGCTTCCCCTATGAGTATAACCTTAAACTCTTCAAGTCTAAGGTCAACAAACATCTGTCACTGGCTGTTCTGTAACCTAAAACATTTTGAATGGCTCTCATATGCATGAGCCTTGTTTTGTGGTAACCGATGAAGTAAAAAAAAAAGGGTGAACTTTAATATGAGTTTTTTGACCCTGTAGAAACTGAAGAAGATGTCGCCCACCTCGATGAAGATCACCCACAGGCAGCTGTCCATGGGGGGTCATCTCAGTCTACAGGAGTGTCTGCAGATAGAGTACAGGATGAGCCAGGGATGTGTGGTGAGTTATCTTGTCTTTGGTGCTCAAGCCACACTCACTCACTCACTATCCGTTTAACATCTCATGGTCTCCGTTGCTCGAGGGTTGGACGTGGAAAGTTGCCCTGGCCTGATTGCTGCTCTCCAGCTGATTCTGTCCTGTGGGTCAGCATTTTGAAGATTCAGTAGTTGCAAATATCTACAGTACTTATGTCATCTATCCATCTCTTCTTTGGGCGGCCACATGGATTCTGTCCCTCAACAGACGTAGACATCAAGATGTGATTTTTATGGATGACGTCCTTTGGAGACAATATACTAGCTAAATCTAATGTGAGAGTGGGAAAAACAAGAAGGGCCAGAAAAAGCAAGATGCCTAGATTTGAAATATACTAAGGGACGACAAATTGAATGAGAGAACACAGTGTAACAAGCAATAAATCAGTGGAACAGCAGTTGTCGTCCTGTACTGTCTCTTTCCTTTAATCACATCTTCCATATCCCACTGTGACTCCTTCTTTGGTCATACAGTAACAGTAGGTACAAGAAGCGGAAGTTCTTGTTTTTTATTCTGGGCCAAAATCAATGTACATGTATGTGCGGACGTCATCCATAAAAATTAATTGGTGTGGCCTAAGTTAGCTACAAGTATAGCCAACATCAACTTGCTGATGATTCCTCTGCACTGGTGATTTGAAGTGAATTGACCAAAAGTTTTAGAGTACAGGATGAGCTAGAGATGTATGTTGAGTTCCTCTTGTATTCATAGACAGAGACAAAATACTGTTTGTGAAACTCTAGCTTGACTTGTTCTCTATGTTTTATGTTTTATCCACAGAGAGGGCACGATTTCTACGAGGGAGTCAGAGCTGGTGAGTTTTTACTTCCATTGTGTGTGTGTTTGTGTGTGTGTGTCTGCATGTGTGTGTGTGTTTGTGTGCGTGTGAGTGAGTGTGTGCTTGTATGTGTGCTTGTATGTGTGCTTGTATGTGTGTGTGTTTGTGTGTGTGAGTGGTGTGTGTGTGTGTGATGTCTGCACTGAGAGCTGGGAAATAAGTCATTTGATTTGGGCTTCACTTTAGTGATTGGGTGGTAAACTTGGTGTGCCCTTGGGGTCATGATAGCATGTCAGTAGAACGTACTGCACCTGCACGTTATGTAATGTGCTTAGCACTTCAGCAGAACGTCTCATATAAAGTTGTATTCCCATATATAAGTGTAAAATGACGTTTGTAGTTTCAAAATATGCAATTCTGATGCAACCTTGAAAACAGGCAATTCTGATGCAACCTTGACCAAACATCCAACAAAAACCATGAAAAATCGCACAGGCGCAGTACGTTCTACTGACATGCTGGTCGTGATCATTGGTTTGGAGTAGAATAGAATATATGACATTGACAATTTGAAAGCTAATTCCCAGCATTCATATCCTTTCAGTTCTTGTGGACAAAGATCACTCGCCCAAGTGGAACCCTAGCACGTTGGAAGGGGTGACACCCGGGATTGTGGATTCTTACTTTGAACCTATACCTCTCTCCTATCTTCCCGCCAAGGAACTGCATCTGTGAACGTCAAACACATTGACGCCTTCCTACTTCAGTGAAAGACAAAAGAACTTTAACACAACATAAACACCTTACAAAATGCCAACTGTGTGGCACACAATGTACATGATCAAGGAAAGGTAGTAAGGCCACACCAATTTAATTTTTTGTTCTCAGAATTGCCTCTTCATTTTTTTTTCTGATTTGAAAAAAAAAAGATTCTGGTTCTGAGTCAACTCTCATATTTTTCCCTCAACAGTTCAGGAAAGCCTTTTTCTTCCTAGTCCGTACAGTTTTTCCATCTATCAATGCAGTCGTTTGATTAAAAGTTAAAAATTCATTGTTTAAATATTAACCCAGCCTTTTGTGTTAACTGCATAACTTCTATCATTGCATTTGGGGCTATAATAGGATGCCTACCTGTTTTGTTTTTTTTTCGTCCTGTCGCTTCATATTTTTTCTGAAAAAAAAATCCGAGAACCAACAAATGGAATTGGTGTGGCCTAAAAGGATCATAGCACATGCTCCAACTGCCTCTTCTCTAGTTCTTGATGTACAAGCCTTTCTGCAGTCTTTGCCTTTACATGTACATCTTTTGATCGTTCTTACTTTAAGTATCTGCATTAAGATAAGACCAGGACATTCATGTGATGGCCTCTTTACCAACATCACACGTAATCCTGGGTTCTTACAGAATAAGTAAAGGATAGAGCTTTCGGGTTTTCAAAGGGCCATGCTGGTTTAATTATTACTACAATCAAAAACTATGTTGAAAACATGATTCAGGATTAATACACTGGCATGACCTGACTTGTAGACACGCAATGATAAAAAAATGAAAAAGTTGGAATATTTTCATTAATGAGTGATGATTCTATGACAAAATTGTATTATATGTCCATATATGTAGCTCTACTTACAAAAATCTCCCCATGTATATTATTTCTTTCATTTTATGATAAAATATGATGTGAATGTGCCATTGTTATGTACTGATATGATGTGCCAAGGCAAGTGCTAGTTGATAGTTTTTATTCATCATAGTGCTTGTATCGTACATGTACTTCCATTTATTTCCTATAGGCCACACCGACTTAATTTTATGGATGACATCCGCGCGCGCATAGATTTTCGCCTGTTCTCAAAGAAAAAAAGATCACGTCCTCCAAGGCTCTGGCTCTAGGCTTGCGTAGTCCATGGTGGTTGGCGGTAACTTTAGGGGATGGCACCCGGGCTACTAACGCGAAGCTGCACGACTCAAGAACTCAGTACATACGTATGGTGCCGATTCATAAATTCCGCAAAAAGCTAGCATGTGTCGGCTTGTCGTATACGTCGCTATGTACTGCCGCAAATTCACAATACCATCTTTGTCTTCCTGTGGTTTAATAGCATTTTTATTTTTGGCCGGATTTTTTTTTATTCACCCGCGCGCACTAGTTTGGGGGTCTTCAGAGGATGTCATCCATAAAATTAAATCGGTGTGGCCATATCAAGCTTCCTAGTCCAGTTTGGGCCTTTCTCATAGCTACGTACTGTGCCCATCTGATTGAGCTTTCATTGGTAACATTGGTTCCTTTTGAAAAAAAAATGGCACTGAGAATATCTAAATAAAAACCACATTTCCATATAGTTGAAATATATCGGTTGAAGGAAATAATGCTCTCTCTCTCGCCTAAGGCCACAGCAAGTAAATTTTATGGATGACATCCTCCGCAGACTCCAAATCTAATGCGAGTGGGCAAAAAGAAAATGGGCCAAAAAAAAAACAAGGTCCCTACAGTTACATTTTAAAAATTTGACTCAATCATTGTACAGATGGTTTTGATTCAGTGGGAATATCACATATACACAGCCAACATCACATATCACTGCATCAAAGTAAGAAACAAAACATTAAATCAGAGCCTTTTCTTGTCTCCTCTCTTTATAGTTATCTGCCATCCACCTTCCGGCATGGCAACAGACATCTTTGCCCATTTTCTGCATGTTGACCACTGTCAGAAGGCAACAAAATTTCTTTTATTTCCCAAAATCAGGCAAAAATTGATGCGCGTGCTGATGTCATCCATAAAAATTACTTGCTGTGGCCTAACCAACAGCACAAGTAAGTGGACTTAAAGGCTTAGAATTTAATGTTTTTCAAATTGGACTGATTTTGTTGGTATTGCTTCTCCTTACGTTGGTAAAAAGATATGAGTTATCTATACCTTGTTTGGAGCTAACAGAAATTGTAAATTTGACATAGTGTCAGCCTACCATGATCACATTGCTGAAGGAGTTTAATGGACCTATTACATTATTACATCACAGTTTGTGGTCAATCTATGTTTATATAGTACAGGTGTGTGTTTGTGTAGCGTTACATTTACTAACTTTCTTCTACTGTCACAACTAAATAACCCATTATGGCACGTAATGCTGTGTCAACAAAACTAGACACAGCAAAAATCAAACACACCTGACTTTTCAAACTTTATACTTTAACTGACCGTTCAATACTCTTTAGAACAAACTGTAACGTAATAATGTAATAGGTCCATAATTGGACAGTTTTGTAACATTATGGCATTACAGCTGTATCCGATGACAAACGCCTTTGGAAATAAACCATAGACCAGGAAGTAATGAGTGATAATTATAAAGGGGCACACCCCGGCTTAAACATGAAGCTGGGAGGCACGGAGACTCCCCGCTGGGCGAGCCGCTGATCGTACGCCACCTCTAGAGGTGGCGTACGAAAATTGCGTACGAAAGTTGCGTACGCAAATTGGGGCCAGTTTACACGGAGGGAAAACCCTTGCGTACGCAATTTTCGTACGCAATGATTTTGGCGCCGTGTAAACCGGGTCTTATTTTGGGTCTCCAGTTGGTTCCACACAACCTCAACTATAGCGACCGTCTCTTGCAGAAAATAATTCTGAAGCCAAAACACTGTCTCCGACAAAAATCAATTTGACAAAACTGAATAGGCTACCTAGCTGTCTGAAGATTAAATAGCTTAATTTAAAAAAAAAAAAAACTTTGCAAATTGAAGCAGGTCCCTCTAGCTACAAGAACAAAGGAATTTCAAGTTGTTTAGATCTAACCCCTCTAATTTTAGTAAATGTTTTTTTTTGGGGGGGGGGGATTTCCCGATAAAAATTGTGTGTTTTTCGTTTCCACTCTCCAGCCACATATACCAGTCAGTGTACATAATAGATCTGACGTCACCATGATCGCATCCTCTTGAAGTGGTTTTTGCTCCTGTTCAAGCTCAATGAACAGGTGTTGTCATGGAAAATATTAGGCTGTCGCTTTCAGTCCCACACTTTAACGGGTAGCAGATAAAATTGCATTTTTTTAAGTCATAGCTGGTAGAGAATAAACCTGGCATTCCTGCCCAAGCTTGTCCGCTCCCGAGATGCATTTTGTTGTGCAGGAAAAGTGTTGAAGCATTCTATGAAACGGAGAACCGGGCCGTACTTCTGGCGACTACGGAGGTATTTACTGAGAGAAGGCTGTACAGTTGGGTGTCAGTCTCTATGAAATATAAAGGCCTTAGATTGTGTCACTAGTGCAACTTATATATATATTTGTCTGAACATCCGCAAGCTGCCCTTCCAGCGTCTGGTGCGAGAGATTGCCCAAGACTTTTTTAAATGAAGATTTACCACATTTGTGGAAGGATTGACATACATTGTAACAGGTGACTATCACCTCTTCAAGATGTCAAACCTGTGACCAGACTGTCAGGTTTCAATCACTCACACCAAGAAGGTCCCCTACTCTTTTCGATAAGTGCGATCAAGAAGGCTTAGGTTTGCAGGACACTGTCACAGGAGCAGAGAGGAGATTGTGGCCGAGCTGGTACTGTGGACTCCCAAGCATGGGAGGAGGAAGGCCGGCAGACCGGCTGCAACCTACATAGACTGCCTAAGGAGAGACACCGGCCTGGAGGTGGACTACTTGGGTCAAGTGATGGAAGATAGGGAGTGTTGGTCAGCCATTTTGTCTCGAGGCCAGGGACACCAGGACTCGACATAAGTCAAGTCAAGCGGTGGGTTATTTAACGTGCGTGGGGTGTGGTTCTCCCCAAACACGGGACCCCCATTTAACGTCCTGTCCGAGGGACGTCCCTAACCAAAGCTAGGTACTCATTTTCACCTGAGTGAAGTGAGGAAAGTCGTGTTGATCGGCGACTGCGGACTAGCCCGGGACATGTACGCCGTGGGGTACCATCGGCAGGACAGGGTAGGTCCCGAGACATGTACGCTGTGGGGTACCATCGGCAGGACAGGGTAGGTCCCGAGACATGTACGCTGTGGGGTACCATCGGCAGGACAGGGTAGGTCCCGGGACATGTACGCTGTGGGGTATACCATCGGCAGGACAGGGTAGGTCCCGGGACATGTACACTGTGGGGTACCATCGGCAGGACAGGGTAGGTCCCGGGACATGTACACTGTGGGGTACCATCGGCAGGACAGGGTAGGTCCCGGGACATGTACGCTGTGGGGTACCATCGGCAGGACAAGGTAGGTCCCGGGACATGTACGCTGTGGGGTACCATTGCCAGGACAGGGTAGGTCCCGGGACATGTACGCTGTCGGGTACCATTGCCAGGTCAGGGTAGGTCCCGAGACATGTACACTGTGGGATACTATTGACAGGACAAGGTAGGTCCCGGGACATGTACACTGTGGGGTACCATCGGCAGGACAGGGTAGGTCCCGGGACATGTACGCTGTGGGGTACCATCGGCAGGACTGGGTAGGTCGGACTAACAGCAGATCTTACATAGGGAGCTGGCGCAGTATAATTGAGTAAGGAGAAGCGGATTCTATTCATCTACAGATCCTGTAGTCTTGTAAAAGTCGGCTTTAGATAGAATTTGAAGCAGCTATCCTTTCTTGTTTTTCCAGGTCCACGACCTGCTGCCGCTGAAGTGGATGGCGCCGGAGGGCCTGAAGAACGAGGCTAGGTTCACTCACAAGAGCGACGTGTGAGTTCTTAAATTGTTTTATAGACACCAAAATCTTAGTGGAAATAAACATACATGATCTATCACTGTAAAAAAATTATCATCTTTACATCTTCGATGTGCATTACCACCAAGTCCGTCCCAACGTCAATACTATAAAGTATTTCTTTCCAGTTGGTCCTTCGTGGTTCTGTTGTGGGAAGTGGTGCAGCTTGGCCGCACGCCGTACCCTGGGATGGAGGCAAACGTCGGTATGAAACCGCATCGGACTGAAAAACAAGCCTGAGGCTAAAGTGACGTCAGCCGGGAAACATCTTTTGACTTCACAAGACTGTAAAATTCCTGGGGGAGTGACTATAACAAAACCTCATTTTTATATAATGACTCGAGCAGTGTGTTATTACCAAACTACTGTAACAGCTTTCCCAAGCCGCTTGTCGTGTGTTTTCTTTCACAAATGCTGAATTGTTTTTGTGTATCTGCCGCCATGACCCACGTGATTGAGCAGTCCTAGCTCTGTGCCAGGGTTGTTCTCATGCGTACCCTGCTACATGTATACACGTAGTCTCCACCAGACTCCTTTTGCAGGCTGAATAAATCGTAGAAATCGGTCTAAGATAGGTTTTAATTGGCCAGAGAAGGTGCAGGCCGATTGGATCCTCGATGGCCGGCTACCTTCTCTGGCCAATTAATACCCTTTTTAGACCGATTTCTACGTCGTTCCTACAGGCTCGACTGCTCATGTTCCTTCGCTATTTCCCCTCGTGGCTCCTGGCGTGATCCAGTGGGTCGTTGTTATTGTTAAACCTTGAAAAGCAGGTGTTAAGTGACATCCGATGTAGAAAGAACAGGTGCGTCTGTAAACAACTTTAAATCTAGACCATTCATGCAGGACCATGGCCTCTCACTTTCCCATTTGTTTCCCTTTGTTGTTCCTGGCAACTGACAATCGTCAATCTTGACAGTGAATCTGTACATACCTGATATACTGTAGATGTGATAACTTAAGACACCTGAAATGCATCACTGTTATTGTACTAGATAGAACTAGATTGTAAAAGCATGAATGTATAATAAAGGTCTTTCAAAGGCCCTGTTCATATGAAGTCAGTGAAGGCGCTTTACATGTGGTTTCCCACGAAGCCGGTTTCAAGTGGCCCCATCTGAACGTTCCAAATCACATTGAAAGCGCCTCGATCCCAATCCACTTCGGGAGGTGGTTTCGAATCGGTTTTCCCGCATCGATTTGCGTCTGAACGCAATGTGATTTCAATGTGACTTCACCTGGTCATGGATTACGGGGTGATATTTCTTTATTTATATGCAATATCAATATTTACGTGGCAGCAACTTAAAGAGCAGTAATGGTCAAATAATGTGTCCGTTCTAGGGCGAGCTTCACCGCCTCTGGCGGGACTACGTCGGCATTCGGCCGAGACACGCTGGGAGGGGGGCACCAGCAAGCAGGTCGTTGACCTCTGACATTAATAACACGCTACCTTGCGTGTTCTCATCAAACAACTTACAATTAATTGGACACGGTTTGAAAGGAATGATCGGTCACGGTTTGAAAGGAATGTGTGGCAGGTGGACCAGATGTGAGGAATGCGAGTTACCCGAATCGCGGTTCGGGTGACTTCATATGAACAAGGCCAAAAACGCAAGACGCGTTAGAGCATTACTCGACACAAAGAGTTGTGTAAGAGTTGCGTTCTTGGCTCTAAAGAAGCACGTACGTCCCTGGGCTATATTTAGACCATGACTGGTAGGTGGACCTCACGGGGGAAGAACCTAAACAGTCACTTACAGCATTTCCTTATCGACAAGACGCAAGACTTATGCGAGTTAAACACTAACTAGGAACATTTTACAACACCTGCAGAAGGCATATCTAGGTGTGCAGCACAGGTGAGTGTCTGCTTCCTTCGTCTCGGGAGTTTTATCCCAACGAACTACATTGAAAGGTACGTGTAGTGTCCAGAACCGTGCTTTATCCAGAACCGTGCTTTATCCAGAACCATGCTTTATCCAGAACCGTGCTTTATCCAGAACCGTGCTTTATCCAGAACCGTGCTTTATCCAGAGCCGTGCTTTATCCAGAGCCGTGCTTTATCCAGAACCGTGCTTTTTTCTGAATCGTGCTTTATCCAGAATCATGCTTTATCCAGAACCCTGCGTATCCAATATCCTGCGTATCCAGAACTGTGTTTTATCCAAAACCATGCATGCCGAGGGCACGGGTCTTAGTTCTGGATAGTCCAGGCATATTCAGAACTTTCCTATTACTAGTATCATTCCGTGATTTATCCGGCACCCATGAAAGAAGTTGCAGAAGACTAGGCTTACCAATGTCACATGAAATGTTCTGTTTCATGGTTTAAGGAAAGTATATCGTACTTACTAATAGGTAGACAACTTATTCGTCCAGTTGCATTTATTTGCCACTTGTCATTTTGTTGAACCTCAGAGACATGTCATCAACACCGGGCAGCCCCAAGCAGCTCCCCCGGGGCAGGTCGACTCACGGCCCGACTAAAACTGCCTGGACGACCCGGTGCGACCACCTGCAGCCTCGGGATGATTTAACCAGGCGGACCCAGTGCGGACGGCAAGAGCCAAAACACAAGACTATTGACACAATACCGGCAGAGGACATCGGTCAAGTTCCGGTAACAATTTTAAGCCAAACCTTTTTGTCTTTGTTGTTGGTACTCAACTAAAAGAAACTGTTTCATTTACTAGTTATTTGTAGTCCTATATGTTTAGTCTAAATGTATTTTTCTCCAGATCAGGAGCACACGTGCTGACCGGTCCTTTATGTGGCGAGACTTCAAAATACCAGAGGACAGCCAGGAAGTCAACTTGAAGGTACTGTAAATTCACATATGTTCGCGGGATAGATTTCGCGTTAGGAAAGGAAAGAAGATTTTTTGCGGTGTTTAAAGTTCGCCGTTGAAACAATACTTAAGCGCGGTAGTACATTTACAATCACTGTGAAATCAGTGCCTTTACTCTTGGTTACAATATGCCTCTTATTGTGGCATCGTTATAGTATATTGTATGGTACACAATTTTGGACAGTATGCCGCTATTGATGCATGTCTTCCACTATTGTCTTGTCTAATTTCAAATATATTTCATGGAGGTATGAGATCTCCGAATTCTTGTTTGCAATTACGAATTAAATATAAAGACAGAACTGGTATCGAGTATGGCCCACATTATCATGTCCTGACTTTAATATCAAACTTTTTGTTTTGTCTGTTCAAAATCCTAGACGGGTGCAACACAGTACGTTATCAAAGGAAGTGGCAATGACCATCAGGAATACTGTGATGATGATCGGTAAGTAACAGACTATTGCAAAGCCTTTGTTGACTTAAGCATCATATGTTTAACGTTTGGCATTCTAGGATAGATGTGTGTATACTAGATAACTCACAGTTCATTGTTCTTGTTTGATCACCATGATTGTGTGTCTTTTTTAAGGCGCGTCACCGTTGAAGAGAAAGATTCGCCGTTTGAAGAAGGGTCGCAAGAAGTCGAACACAGTACATCTGTGGGTTTAGTGGAGAAAAAGGTACTACAAATGTAATTTTTGTATGTGTACAAGCTTTATAGTATCGAACAGACAACACAAAGTGGTTAAGATGCCATCCCCATACAAAACTTTTGTGTTGACTCATGTATCTCTCGCAGGCCCCACCAAAAAGGCAACCGAGTTCTGACTCTCTGTTCAGCGGGAAGCAGGTGAAACCCGGCGACGTATGGACGCCGTACGGCCCGCCGCTGTACGGGTACGGCTCCTCCCTGAACCCGCCACCCAGGAATTCGAAGCGGTTAGACACGCTGCTCATCCTCGCCGCCATCTTCTACTGCCTGGCCGTCCTGACAGCGGTGGTGTTCGCTGTCTTCTTTAAGATCAAAGTCATGCCAGGTTAGCTTGTTTTTTCTATCACCCGATTCCTTAGATTTCAGTTGATCACTTTTTGATGGAACTAGCTAGTTTTCATTTAGACTGCAAAAGGTATTGTCTAATAATTTCTGATAGGAAGGTTTTTTTATTGCTGACCGAAAAAATGTTCTTAGTCTTCAGCGCAGATGGCATTTCTCAGTTTTGTCGTATCTTTTAGTTAGCTCTCTGAAAAGACGAGCTGTGCTCACTCTTTTATTATTTGCGTTTGACCTTCCTCAATCTGACAATCATCTTCAAATTTCTTGTACTATCTTTCCACTGGTTCAACAGCCTACATGACTCCTGCGGAGCCGGTGCCTGTGTGGATGCAGCAGTTTTCCCCGGAGATGCAGAGGTGGTACCAGTTGGCTCTCCAGGCCGCAGGAGGGGACAAATCAGCGATACTGCCGCCTGGACACGTGCCGCAACCGACCGTGGAGATTCCTGTGCAGGAATGTGAGTCTTTGGTTCAAAAAGTTCCTTGCACTGCCGCTAGGTGTCGTTGCTACAATGTTAAGAATACGGTTCCAAACGTGACAGAGTTTATACCCCCCTCCTCTCATTACGGTTCTTTTACTGGAGGGACTACGGCGTTGAACTGAAAAGGCAACATTTGCATATGATAATGTTCTTCACATTGTCTAGTCTGACTAGCTGATGCTTTATTTAGTCTTACTCAAACACATTCATATACATGCATATGGAGATCGGCGTCTCCAACTCTGTCCTGCTACAAAAAATATGTAACCCAGCTCCACCGAGTGCCTGCTACAGCACCAGTTACCATGATGACAGACGTCTGATCCAGGTCATTGACCTTATTTGTTTGGAGAAGAAGAGGAAGACACAGAGCAAAAACAACATGTTTTCCTTAAAAGCAAGTTGCTGACTTTCGAATTCTGAATGTTTGGTTTCTCCTTTTCAGTTTGCGGAAACACGTCTCTCCCCGACTTGCCCCATGGCCGCTTCAACTGCATCAGTATCGCCCACCACAACATCTACGTGCGCATGTGCATCGCCAGGTGTGACGTGGGCTACCAGACTGATGACGCGGGCCTGCTGTTCTGCAACCGCGGCCGATGGGCGCCGATCGCGCCCGAAGTCGTGTCGACACTCGTCGGCGTCGGGCGGGCTGCCGACACGATGCCGAACACCGACCCTCGGATGTTCGAGCACCTCGGCATCTCCGACGAAATCTACGCGGACGTGGCGTTTAACATTTTAGTGAAGGTTGATGACGTCCCAAATCTGTCTATCATAAAGACATATCTAAACATGATATCAGAGGACAACATCATCGACTTCAACATGATGCGGCAATTGTTGATCTGGATTGGCCCAACTCTAGACGACAAAGTGGCCAACCTGGACTTCCTGCATATTCTGTCTCGCCTAGGTAAGTAGAGTTCGGCGATACAAAACAAGGCTCTAAATATCATACTTAAAATAATCCCAAATATGAAAAATGAAATATGATCGTGCAGCATTTTTTGAAACCTCAAAAATCAAATTCAAGAAGAACCTGTTACCATTTTTAACAATATATGACAGCACATAGAATATATTGTGTACACAAAGAAATTATAGAACAGGCCATATATATATTGAAATTGAAAATAGCAATAAAGAAAAAAACACAATTCTGTCTTTCTATTTGCAGAGACGTTTGGGGCGTCCAGACGGCCGGTATGCAGAATTGTGGACTGCAAAGGAGAATTTGGGGTACTTGTTTCGAATGGCTTATCTGAACAGAAAATAACAAACATACACCAAATTAATGATACTAATAATTAAGTGTGAGACATAAAACTTACTTTCTTCTGTAGTTCATATCACCAAGAACAGAAACTTCACCAGATCAAGAAACTAGCCGGATCTAGTAATAAAGTAACGGTCAAAACATACTAAGTACCTTCATGTTTTATGGGATTGTCCTAACTTAATAGATTTTTGGAAAAAGATCAAAATTTGGTATCTTCAAAAAACCGGTCAAGATATTATCTTGAACGGTTTTAATATCATTTTCAGAAACCTTCTCCCAGGCACCTCTATAATTCAAAACTTCATCATCCTGTTAGCAAAATGTTTCATATTCCATAGTAGAAAGTCCGAAAAATTGAATTTTCTATCCTTTCTAATTTTTTTTGTAACAAAGTTGAGTTTTATATCACTACAAGTAAAAACAAATTGGAGAAGCATCTCGGCAAATGGGGTGGATTTTGTGTTTAAATTATATTTTGTCATACAATATTTATATTTATAATACTAAATCATATTATCTATTATGATTTCATGCTACTTCCATATGTACATTTGAGTTACTTCGGTTGATTTGACTTATGATTTGACTTTTGTTATACAGTACTTATATTTATAATACTAAATCATATTAACTATTTATTATGTACATTTGAGTTACTTTGGTTTGATCTGACTTATGTTGTCAAGTTGGATGGTTCCACTTCTTTTGTTCTTTTCTTTTGTTGAATAAAAAAAGTAACTGTCAATAATCGCGTACCTGGACCCACCAATTTCATATTACCGTCATCTTTAAAAAATGGATGTCACAACTTCAAGTTTGTTATATTCATAGAACTTAGCTCATGGTCGAGTCAGCAGCACTGCGACCACCTACATGTCAGAAGCCCGAGTGGTCTGTGAGCGAGGCTACCTGCCCAGGCACCTTGTACTGACGTGCAACGCTACAGGACACTGGGACGAACCTGCACAGTGTGACCCTGGTAGGGTGTTGCCTTGGCTTTTATGTACATGGAGTTAAGAAGAAGCCGGTACCTCAGGCTTTTTAGACACTTTGCACTTTGGCAAACGGTATCGCCGAATATGATTTTTTAAAACATATTGCTATTTCAACTAGAAAGGCCAATATTTGCTTTGGAGCAAATACAGCGATGGGTTCACCACATTTTACGACATGGCAGGGAAAGAATGAGAAACACAAGGGAAAACAATGATTTACATTGATATAACTATAATATGAAGTAACATACAACTAAAACAACAGTTGGATAGCTATTCCCTACTTTATTGGTTAGGATTTTTAATTGCATAATGCAAACTGTTGATTTTCAAAATAAAAAAAACGTTCATGCCCCGCATTCCAATGCTGGAGCAGAAAAGCTTGAAATACCTACCAAAACACTTGAATAAAGACATACTGTCAGTATGGAAATGCTCTGTGAAGGTGTTAATCAAGTTAAATCCCAACAGCCAATCAGCAAGAAATGCTCTGTGCAGGTGGAAATGCTCTGTGCAGGTGTTAATCAAGTTAAATCCCAACAGCCAATCAGCAAGAAGTATAGAGGAAAGCTGCATGCCTATTGGTTGATGCCCTGCATTCCATTGTGATGACTCATGCCCAGACGTGGTAAACACGGCACACTAACACAGTAATACATTTGCTATAACACAGCCAAAAAACTCAAATAAAACCATTCTAAAAGCCTGTATCACAAAAATTTAAAAACGCCTAGGGGTATTTGCCCACTGTACCTCCATACCAAATTTCAGGACCTTAGGCCCTAAAATGAAGAAGCTGAATCCGTTTAAACTAGAAAGGCCAACATTTGCTTCGGAGCAAATGTAGGAATTTCACTCCATACCCTTCCCCAAACAAAAATGAGAGATTCTAAATAAATCATACTGCAATTATACAAGGACAAGCTGTTTGAATCTCGACAGGTATTTACAAAACTGGCACTTGGCAATTATCCCCTTTTTTTTTACAAAGATACAACGACACGCACTTTAAATCTCGACAGCTTTACTTTACACTTTTGACGAGATTGTAACTACTACTAACGGAAGCAAAATTTTCACGGCCTGAGAAAATGGACATGTTCACGGAAGTATATATTCACGGTGGTGACAGTTGCAGGAAAAAGAAAGTCCAGGAATTATTTCCTAACTGTAATGATAAGTTCACAATACAGAGGTGACAGTGAAAACCGTGAACATTGACCCCCCGCTTGCGTTGCGGTACAGTGAAAAAAATCGGGAATTACAGCAATCAATTTACTGAGTATGTTTGCTTAGTTTCCAGATGTTTTGTACTTGTAGTTTTTAAATGAACGAAAACCGATGCGCGCACAGATGTTACTTTTGTGACAACATCAAAGTGATTTTGGTTTGTATGTTGAAAAAATACAAAAGACTAACATTCGAAGTTATTGAAATTCTTGAGTAAGAACAATCAGTTTGGAATGTTAAAAGCAAAGCAATGGATATTAAAACGAAAATGTTAAAATTAAATGTTGAAATTGTTAAAATGTAAAATGGTTAAAATGGTTAAAATTGTTGAAATTGTTAAAAATGTTAAAATTGTTAAAAATTGTAAAAAGGATAATTAAAAATATCCAGTGTACCGGGGTTCGAACTCGTAATGTCTGGACTTGCAGCCCTGCGCGTTACCAACCGAGCTATCTGGACACGTTTCCATTACTCTCTGCATTGTATGTCATATAATGTGAACAACATGGCGGTAACGATCGCTTCAAGTACTAGTAAGGGACTTTCTAGGAGATACACTCTACAATTTTGGTGATTCTTCAGAAATCGATAACAGAATATATAATACTAGTCGGTGAAGATTGTGGAAAATTGTTGATACCGTGGCGCGCGCGCGTGCGCCGACGATACACATTACGTACCGTTGTTTACAGTACTCGCGGGGCGCAGGTCATTGACCTCCCGCTTGCGTTGTTCCAACAGAGAAGAGCAAAATATCTGCCAGTTTTTGCGTCAGATTTTCAGTGTTTGTTAAAATCATATACAGGCATCCATGCAGCTATAATTCTTCCAACTAGTTCGTAGTTAGGTGAAATGTTTATAGGAATCACACGAATCGGTATCCAGTATCAGAGTATCATGGCCCACGGCCGAGACCGCTTGGACCAGCTGCGCTGGTACGTGAAAATGGTAGTAAATAAATTAATTAGCCAACAGCCAATCAACAGCCACATCTGCAAACATGACCACACCTGCTTGTATGCCCATATTTGGGCCTTCCCCCGAATTCCTTTCTTATTACGTCACGCGCGTACGCCCCCACAGTACTTTCCTATGGGGACCACTAAAAAGCAAATAAAACGATTGTAAAAGCTTGTATCAAAAAAATTAAAAAAACGCCTAAGGGTATTTACCCACTCTACCTCTATACGAAATTACAGGTAATTTCGCCCAAAAATGAAGGAGTTGAATCAATTTAAAGAAGTGGCAGAAGGAGGAGGAGGAGAAGAAACATCAGAAAAAGCAATATGGGTTCACCACCACTTCGTGGTGTGGTGAACCCATAATCAAAACAAGATACGACTAGGCATTATAGAGGGTATTACTAACATAAGCCAACACAAAAAGGCACTGCATTCTGAGTACGAAGTTTGTTGCCGAATACATATTATCACACAGTAACCTGCAGCCCACCTGAGGACCCCCCGCACGGCTCGTACCTGTGCCAGGGTCACGTGTTCTCGGACCGCGGTGACGTCACCTGTGACGTAGGGTACCTACCGGAAACGGACCACGCCCTAGGCTGCAGCTGGACCGGAAACTGGACCTCCTTCCGCAGAGGGAACACGACAGAGATGGAAAATGCTGTGTCAGCAGGTGGGGAAAAGTTACACATCTATTGTTCGTATCAGGGGTTGGAACCATGTCAGTATTGATAAAATGACTAAGGAACGTATTCTTGACTGTAGAAAAATGACTTATGTTGCATAGAATGTCACTGGAGATTTGAAGATAGTTAATGTGGGCTCAACATTTTTGGAAAATGTGAGTGCATGTATACTCCATTGAAATGCATTAAAATCGACCTTCCATCTTCTTTGCAGACGTTGTTATCCCACAGACTCTGGCCTGTGTCATCGCTGACTGTGGAAACATTTCGGTGAGTGTTTTTTCATACATGTTTGTTACATGTACTACATTTGCCAAACATATTCTTCTACATAAGCCTCATTACCAAGTAGATGAAGGAATTGGAAAATTGCAACGCTCGGGAAAATAGAATGACAATTGTTGTCTGTGATTACAAATCAGTGTTGGCAATTTCTGTATTTATTTGCCACCAAAGTCTAACAGTCTAAGGTCTTCCTCCGTGCGCAGACACCCGCACTCGGTGACGTCACCTGTACAGGTACGACGTACGGTGAGACGTGTCATCTCACCTGTCAGAACGGCTACGAGCGGCTGGGCCAAGACAACTTCACCTGCCAGGTGTACCGGCTAACAGCCCAGGCCACCTGGAGTGGGGAGCCTGAATGCACACCAGGTACTGCAGCCTATCTTGATAGAGAAATGCTATACTGGTACTTTTTGAACGACGTATTCCAACATGATGCCATTAAGAGGTTATATCTTTAGATGCACAACATTTGGGGCACTTTTGTTGAAGTTTTTTTACAAAGTGTTCTTGCGTTTACCAGTGAGTTGCGGATCCCCTCCTGAGTTCCCTAACACCGCCCTACTGTGCGCCAGCGGACACACCTACGGGAACACCTGCGGAGTCACCTGTGCGGACGGGTACGACGAAACGAACCACCAGAGTGTAGCTTGTCATAGCAGCGGGAACTGGAGCCTGCAGGACGGAGGTGAGAATTTCTGCTCCTTTTTCAGCGACCTTTCTTGCGATGTCGCTAAAATCAAACCATGGTGCTGATGCAATCAAGGCACACACAGGATTGTAGTAGAATTGACAATATTTCTAACTAAGTTCCTTTTTTGACTGTAGCTCTCCAGCCAGTTGTTGGAGGACCAGATCTGTTCTGTCAGAAGAAGGACTGTGGCAACCTTACTGTACGTATCTTTTAGGTTTTGTATAATAAAATGTGTGGCACAGACAGCTAAATACTATAACATTTAGTGTATTAGGTTATTGTCTTCTCCTTCAATGTGATGACATTGTCATTCTTAGATATGATCAAATTTTGGCAGCATTTATTTCCTTATCAACTACATAACGTCTCTTAAGAAAACGGCAGATACATTTTCCTTTTCCGCCCAGAGCCCTGCCAACGGCAGCCTGACGTGCAGCGGTACCAGGTACCAGGACTCCTGCCGCCTGACCTGTCAGCCCGGGTACAAAGTTGGCTACGAGGGCGGCCATATTCTTCACAGTCTGTACAACTTCAGGTGTCTGGCTAGTGGCGAATGGAACAATAAACCAAGGTGAGGCCATTTTTCCTTTTTCTACTTTTCTTTACATGTCATGCTACCAAAATGAACCCTTCTGCAATCCAGAAAGCCTTTTTTTCAAATTGGTGTATGGTCCGACTGTATACATAAACGTTAACGTTGTGTTTTCGGGACCTATGAATTCGGTTAGTCATGAAGAAATGACTTATGTGCTGTACAATATCACGGTAACACCATATGTGACGACTAAGCTTAAGTCGATTCTACAACGAACAATTGTCAATGTATTGAATGAAAATTTCATTGTCGTTTCTAAACCCTTGTGTAGATGTGTCCAGTCTAACTACTGCCGGCTCGGCCTGCACGACTGTCACCCTGAGCACGGGATCTGCGACCTGACGGGCCACCAGACCTTCAGCTGCCGCTGCCGGGTCGGGACGGTCGGGGACGGGAGACGCTGTGAACGGACCCCCTGTCCGCCTTTCCCGGTCAGTGCAATGCTGTTGCTAGATTTTGCTAGATTCTGACGGAGTTTCCACTGCAAAATGTCGGAAGGTCCGAGTCTGTAGGTGACCAGAACGATCTGCACTATCATCGTCATCATTATCGGTCATATTTGGTCGGTTTGACTGTGGCGTACAGTCAGACCTTACCAACTAACCAAATGCTGTCAAAAAGGCAAAGCTTGATTGTTGGAAGGGAAAAGAAAAAAAAATTCACCTAAAACTCATTCCAAATACTATGATCTACACCGAGTGCGGTGCCTACGATAATTCAGCTAAAGACGACACAGGTAATGACCAGAATCTAACTTTAACCAATGGACCAAAAGGCAGTTTTAGCTGAAACCATTTTGTAACTGCAGCCCACATCACCAGCTGAATGTCGTTTTTCCTCCACTTTCCCAGATCTCTGAACCAGCAAACGGCTTCTTCAGGTGTTCTATCCCAGGATCCTCTACTGCCTGCACGACAGAGTATGCTAACAGCACCTCCGCGGAGTACGAGGTCGTCTGTCTGCTCCACTGTAACCATGGTTACGACAGGCTGATCTATGCCGAGTACTCCTGTGGACAGGACGGGAGCTGGACCATTCCTGTCGACATAGACAGGCCAGGGACCACGCCGTGTTTAGGTGCAACTGAATGTTGAATCTCTACTTTTTCTAAACCTTAGGCGTTGCTGGTTGGAATCAGCAGTACCATGGTAGAAAAAGAATAGAAAAGGGACTAGATTCTTCAGCATTATAAGATAAACAAAAGTTCCTGAACCAATTTTCTACACCTTTATTTTTTCAGGACCTTCAGTAATGATGGCCCCAGTGGTCTTAATAATTATTCTGTCATTCGCCACTTTGACATTTTGTTTCAGCTGTGAAATGCCCGGACCTGGCCCTTCCCTTGCATGGTACAATGACCTGCAATAGTGGCTCCGAATTCCGCTATCCGGAGGTCTGCAACCTCGCCTGCGACCGAGGCTACGAGCTAACGACTCCCACAAACAGCAGCGAGAGACGCTGTCAGACTGATGCAACCTGGTCTGGAAACGACGCCGTGTGCATCGGTATGTTCGGCATTGTTTCCATTCAACTTGAATTCAAATTTAAGTACTTTATAATGTGTAGCAGTAAACATGTGTGCTACACATGTGTCTTGTGATGTAAGATATCTTAAGGTCTATGATCTTGTGTTTTCATTTTTTTACCACTTGTTTTGTTGTATGTTGTCAAACAGTAACCGTTCTCTTCAATCCAAATGCCATTTGTAATTCATTTTGTCTACTTTAGGCGTACAGTGCCCAGCCCTGTCTATCCCCGCCAATGGGAGAATATCCTGTGATAACGGCTCCTCCTTCCGGTTTCCTGAGAACTGCAGTTTCTCCTGTGACCCAGGCTATGAGATACACGAGAGAGGTAACAACAGTCGGACCTGCCAAGCCGACGGTACATGGTCCGGGAGCGATGTCACATGCATCGGTAAATATGACACCCATTCTGTACTTTCATATCTAAAGGTGCTTCAAAATTCAGAATATATAAACTTTTGTTATACTATACTATATCTTATCTATATCTGCTATATATATATATATATATATATATATATATATATATATATATATATATATATATATATATATATATATATATATATA